CGCCTTCTCGCCTGTGGCTTGTGCCCTTCCTGGAGTATCCAGGTGCTGTCTCCTGGTGGCGGGTGAATGTGCTGTCGGCGATCCCAGAAGCTGTACTGATGGCATGTGCAGGGGTGATCCCCCCCCGGCCGCGAGGCCCTCGCTGGGGTCCCGCCTGGCGGGGATACCCTGAACCCGGCCCCTGGTCGGCGGCTTGTTGGTCGTTCGGTGGATTCGTGTGCCCAGTGGCGGGTGCCTCTTTCACCCCCGCCCTTCGTCTCCCACGTCCCTCCACTCGTGGGCGGAGTTGTCTTGAGTGCGTGTTGCCTTCCTGTAGGGATGGAAAGGTATTGCAGGCCGCCAGGGTTCGGTCTTGCTTGCCTCGCCTTGCCTTGCCATCCTAATATTGGGTGTGTTATCTTGCGTCCACCGAACATCGTGGCGCAATTCTTGTAAGGGGGTTACTTCCCGCATTGTCGGGGTTCTGCTTCTGACTCGCTATGGGGGTTATTGATGGCCAATCACCCACGCAAACCGTTAGCCTCTGACTCGCTAGGAGGGTCAGCCTCTGGGTGGCTAGGAGGATCCGCCTCAGGCTCGCTAGGAGGATCAGCCTCCAACTCACTAGGAAATGAAGAGAAGTTAAAATGGGAACCTAGCGATAGAACACCTAGTGCTGAGGTAGGGTGGCGTGATTTTGGGGGAGGCGCTTGGGAAGAGAGGGATCACGGCACTCGTTGCTACCGTTAAGACCTGGAAGGGTGCAGGCGTTTGAATGGCTGTTACACTGATGCTGGCTGCAGACAGTGATTGGGAGTAGCAACATGCCGGAGGGAGGGCTAAAAGGAACGGTAGACCCTGATCCAGCCGGATCAGGGAGGGTGAGAGATCACACGGGGCAGAAGATGAGCCCGGGGCAGAACCCCTATCACCAGAGGTAGACGGCCAAGATGCTGACACGTGGTACGACCCACGCGCGTGTGGTTGGGTGGGCGGCAGCAGGAGTAGCAGACTGGGACGAAGCGGTGGGAGACCTGGCCACTTTCCTCTCCAGGGCGCGGCTCTTCATCACCCTGCTGCGTCTCAAGAATGGTAAGATGTGGTGGTGACGCGGCCCAGCCCCGGTGCTGAGAGTGGCAGGGGACGCTTCCGAGAAGGCCTATGCCGCCTACCTGCCTGATCACCAACTAGGGGAGGGAGAAGCGAGCAAGATGAGAGTGCCGTTCACCCCGGAAGAGTCGGAGTGCATGACCCGGGGGGAAATGTCTAGCACAGAATGGGAACTCCGCACGGTAGTGCTAGCGCTGGACTGGATTAAGTGTGAGGGCCCGCACTTGCCAGCGAGAAAGTTGTTGCAGTATGGCCGCAACCCTGTGTGTGCTAGGTATGAAAGGGCAGGGCTTGTGCCTGCAGCGAGTGGATGAGCTGTACATGAAGTGCACAGATTGGGACCTGGAGGTGCAGCTGGTCTGGCATCCCCGCTCGGAACAGCAACAGCAGTATGCAGACATGCTCTCCAAGTTCGAAGACAGCTCACAGTGGTGCTTGGATGATGCGGTGTTCACAAGCCTGTGGGCAGAGCCATGCCTGAAAGGATGCAGGCCCACGGACGAGTTCTCCATGAAGGTACCAGGGTGCTTCTTCGCTCACTATTGGAGCCCCCACACCCTAGCGGTGGATGCCTTCATCCAAGACTGGGGAAAGTGGAGCCGCCAGGGCATTTAGTACAAGCGCCGAATTACATGGTCAAAGTAGTGTACATTATGTGGTAAAAGGGCAAGGGCCCGACTATGCACGAGAGAATGACAGGGATGATAGTGAAAGTGGGGAACCAAGGAAGCCCAGAGACATGACAAGGCTGAGATTGTCAGACTGAGCCGCAAGGCGTTGTGGCTGGGATGTGGTGTGGCCTGATTAAACATTGGGATTGGGTGTAAGGCTAGATGCAAAGGCACACTTCATGCTAGTCCGGTACGGAGCAACAAGCATTAACGTTCAAGCACGAGGTGTTACATAGAGCTCGTTAACGACCAACGCTTTCATTGCAGACGTCCATCCCGATGGCGCTGCCCAATGTCAGGTTAAGGTAATAAGTTTGATTTATATCGAAGGAAAAGAGGGACGCCCAAGGCTTGTAAATAAGTTGAAGTCCGCGCGAGTCCTCCTTTGCCTCACGTCCCCCGGGTCAGCAGCGCCCCATCTTACACCAGGTTTCCTGTCTCTCGCTTCCTGCCTTTCCATCTGTCACAGCGCGCAGCCCTTGGGACCGCAATCTACAGCCCAGCCTGTTCATTTCATCCTGTCCTGCGGTAATTGCACGCGCCGTATACTACAAATCCAATGCGCGGTACCTAACATGAAGACGTCTCCACCGCGTAACGGCGATAACTAGCCGGCATCCCAGAACACAACATGCAAATAAGTTTTTTCTTATGAATCAATAGATTTTTTGACATGCTGAGGACAGGTTGCCATTACCAAAAGGTCTGAAACACCGTCCTAAGCGACTGCGTCCTAGAGGCCCCCGAGCCCGGCATTATACCGGGCTTTCTAGTAGCTAAGATAGATAACGAAGTATAGCACGCAACCTCACTTTTTTTACTGGCTGAATACCTCTTTACCATCTTTTCTGAATAATTCAACAGGCTCCCGCACATATCATGCGGCGGAGCCATGCCGCGGCGCGCCATGCAACAATGGCGGTTTCCTTGACCGCCTAAGCAATTATAATCCTAAAGCGCACCAACACTGTACCGCACAGTGCCATATCGCCCGCTCTGTGTCCCGCTGAACACGCCTAAACCTAGGGCAGCTCTGCAACTGGACGCAACTCCTGAGATACATAACCACGTTTGGGGCCCCACGCCAAAAATCTATACCTAGCCTTCTGACCTGGGCACAGCACTCCGTCCTCTTCCTCGTCTTCCCCCCTCTTCACCTCCTCCTCATTCTCCTGCGCCATCTCCTAGACCTGCATATTGTAATGCGCAACCTGGTATGGGCACACACCTACACGCACGTCGGCCGCCATGCCAGCAACTGACAAGCGCCAAACTACAAGGCAATAGCCCTATCCTCGCAGTGTCGATCTGCCACGAACTCATTAAGAGTCTCATCATTGGATTAGTGATCTCCGTCAACCATGGGGCACAATCATCCCCATTGTAAAGCACACCAATCGCATGTCGCCGTCCGGCCTGCGGATTACTATTATTTCTCCTCCTGTGTCTAAAATCATCCAGTGTGTTTGCACGCGTTCGCGCGAAAAGTGTGTGATGCGAATGGAAGGAAGGCAAGGCAGTACCCAAACGTCACAGGGCCATTGGAAGAGGAGGTCGGGAAACATACGCACGCGAGAGCCCACACGCACGCGAGAGCCCACACGCACGCGAGAGCCCACACGCACGCGAGAGCCAAACTGCCAGACGCCGGCCAACGAAAAGAGGGCACTGCACGTGCCTGTGCGTGTGCGCTTGGTGTTTTGTGTGTACGGCAACAGAGGCATGACGTTTTCACCCTGGACAAACATACACACACAATAGCCGTACTTTTCCGAAAAACACTTGTGCGTACTCATACACCCCACAAACGCTTACATACACAAACTGAAATTTCGAAATTTGACTCCGGCACTGCCCCACTAGACAGCCCGCGAAAACACGCCAGACGCAGTCAGAGCGTCGACACAACCCTTCGCAGAATGGCAGGCAAAGGGTGTCACGTAAGCACAGAGAACACCGTGCAGCATCATGCGCACGCTTACATGTACGCAGCCTGCACGCATACACGTATGCGTGCATGCCCACATAGACACATACACACATGTACGCACGCATACGAATACACGCCAACAAAACATGCACGCAAAAACATTAGAAACTCTACTTCATGTGTTATCGTTTCAGTGTGCACGCAAGTGCAAGCACATACCCGCTACCTAGACCTCCTCACTGCGCTCCGGGCATTTCACCAGGTTATTGTTCACGCTTTCCTTGGGCGTAGATCAGGTTTCAATATACGGAAACTGTACGACAATAACTCCAGAATATTGCACTTGTGGATCAGTGCGATTCGGATATACAGCAGTGCGAACGTGTCCTCCCCCCGGCCCTTCGCAACGACTCCAGCAGACTAGGCACCACATCACCCCTCGAACGTCATCGCGTCAACGGTGACGTGTTGAAAGCCGTGGCCGCCACCCAGGTTGCCGCCGCTGCCACCGGAGGCGGCAGTGGTAGCCGATGCTGCTGCTGTCGTCGCAACCACCACCACCACCACCAATAACAACAAACATCACCACGGCTATAGCCGAATTTGGCCTTACCTTCGGGGTCAACGGAACCATCAACAATACCACCATCACCACCACCACCATCACCATCACCATAGCCGCGGGGGCTATGTCAAGCTCACTTGCAAACCGGCCAAACACCTCAGATTTCAGGGGGGCTCGGGGGCGAAAACCCACATAGCCATTTCAGGTGTTGTTCACCCCTACACCTTTGGCCGGTCTCGTCAGCGGCCATCTACCCATCCGGAAGAAAAGCGGCTTTTGCTTTACCATCACTGCTATTACTACCACCACCACCACCACCACCATCATAATAAATAATATTACCAGGCATTGCGTTTCCGCAAAGCCTCGAATGATGGGGCTCCGACTTAACGGTTGCTCGGACGAACCTGCCGTACTCACATACCTCTCAGAATGGACGCGGTATACGGCTGCGCGCGACGACACCCAAACTATTCACCAAGAAAGCAACGAGAAGCTTTGGACTCCTGCCACTGGTTTGCGGAACCACGGCACGGTACGGACTGCGGTAACAGTCCGTATGGTGCCACCACCCAAACGGAGACCTCCCACGTAGCAGGCTCAGTCAACATTTGCATTCTGCCCCCTCCCTCCTCTCCTCTCCTCTCCTCACCTCCGCTAGATCCTCTTCATCCATTGGAATTTCGAAGGCACGTTTCCTCTGTACGTCGCCGTTCACGCCACGCTTCTTCTTTCTCCGTCAAGCCCAAGGGAATTAGTGCAGACAGACAGACGGACAGACAGGCAGACTGCGGTAACACGCAAGCGGAGGCGCACACGCACGCATGTGCCTGTGATAACCGAAAACCGTGCATCTGTACGGCGGCAAGATGTCAACCTAAAGGCACCCTGTCGTACCAACATCCTCGTTATCAATACATCCTGGCTGGCATGTGCTTTTGCAAGCCATATGTCCGTCGCTTTTTGAGTCCGTTGTGCCCTTTCGCGCGGGTCGTCGTTCCGCTCTCTTCTCGTTTCCTTCTATCTCGTCCCCTCAACTTCCCACATATCACCCACCAAATCACGCAGGTGCTTCGCATCCCAACCTGTCAAAGCAAACAAAACTCGCCACGCCGCGCCGGCCGCCGCCCCGCCATGTTCATTGCACGCCAGGAGGGGGACGGGGGAGGGGGAGGGGGAGAAGCCACGTAGACAGAGCTGGCTAGGGCGCTCCCGGGCTTAGGATCGGTAGCGAGGGGCGAGTGGAAGGGAAACGAGTGGGGTGTGGGGTGTAGGTTCAGGCTGCGAGGGCTTGGTGCTACCGCATTCATGTAAGAAGACACGCACGCACGCACACGCAGATGCACGCAAATGTATCAAATGCACACACACAAACGCAAGCACGCACGCACACGCAGATGCACGGTCTCGTGTAAATGTTTCTTGGCGAAAGGAGGGCCCTAAGACATCGCCACCACATATCGTTACCAAACGGTACTAAGCCGCAGCCGTCGCAACCCCAGGAAACCCCATTTTCCTGTGTCATCTCTCCCTCTTCCTCCCTGCGCAAGGAGCTAAGAGCTGATGCAAAAACCAGCAGACCCCAGGCCGGTATCATCCATATCACCACCGTCATCATCGTCGCGGAAAGGCACAGCCCCCGACAGCTCCCTACGATGTCTTTGGAGCTCCCTCCCCGCCGCGCCTCATTACAGCGAGCGGAACCCATCCACAGCGTAACGGCATCTTAGGGCACTACGACAGCTGTATGGCTGTACTGCTGTATGGCTGTACGATAGCCTTGGATCAATCCTGCCGATGCGTGCTCTGCTAAAACCTGCCTCGAGTTGCGTCATCCAAAAAAACGCGTCACAATAATAGCCCATCAATGTGGTCAGCTGTGTAGTACGAGCCTGTACGGCTCGTACAGCCCGTATGACATAACACGGCCCTGTACATACAGTTCACGCACAGCCTATGCGGCGCACTCAACAATTGGAAGTCAAAAGCTTCAGTGACATTAAAACACAACATGGAGCTGAGAGCCAACGGGGTTCGAGCGCACCCGGGGTCTGTGCCATTTCGTGTGAGGTCATGGCCCTTTCCTCCCCCACTCAGCCGGCGGCCCTCTGCCATCTGTGACACAATGCTGTCCGCGCGCCCCCTTTTCCCTTTCCGTACCATCCCGCGAAAGAAGAAGAACAAGAACAAGAAGAAGCAAGCCCCAAAAATCTTAACCGATCAGCGAACACAACCAACCAGCTAACGATGGGCAAACCAACGAGCGAACGAACAAAGAACTACATCGATTTTTTCTGAAAAGGAAGACGGCGAGGAAGGGCGAGGCCAGGGGTTACGTGTCCAGCACCAATTCCTTCATCAAGATCCCAGGGGGAAAGGAAGGGGCGGGTGTCAAGAAAGAGAGAAAAGCACATCTTCGGGTCTGTCGGGATAATCGATTGCTAAAGAGCCCACTTAAAACCGACGCTGTGAACGCCTCATAATAAATATGCGCGCAATTGCCACAACCCCAAAACGATCCGGACCAACACCATTTACGGATTGACAAACCGGGTACATCAACATGGAGGGAGGGGGATTGATCGGGGGTTGTGCCGGGAACTCGGGAGCGTGAACGAGCGTGAGCTCATCAGCCGCACCGCAAACCCCCTAAGTTCCACCTTCCTGGCCACCAATGACCACCACCATGTGCGAGACCTGTAGGACAGCTGCGAGGCGAGGCGGGAACATTCAGCGCCGCCAGGCCCAATGCGCCGCCCATGCCTGCCCGCAGAGCCAACAACCAACAACCAACGACCTAACCGTTAATCCTGGGCAGTAACCTCAATGATACACAGCGCACACGACTTCCATAACTGCCACCATGCCAAGACTGCCATCTTAGCACTCCGCGGCATGGTAGCTAGTATCTCTTTCACTTCAGACTTCCTGCAGCTGCTGGAAATTCATTCCCTGAAGAGCGCATTGAGATAGAAGCTTATGCACAAGCGGTCATGCACTCCTTATTTGAGAAAGCGCACGAGGTCCTCCGCGGCCGTCATGGCCACACTGACGCCTGACTCACACCAGCTCGAACAGCGGACTCTGCCACACATCCACGGTGCTGGTCGCCTCTTGAACCGATAGCGCTGACCCACGGGTCAGCCTCACCACGATAAAGTACTTCCCAGGCGGTACATTAAAGCCCCTTGTAGGTGACGAGTCGTCGAAGTATCGTCCATCCCAATTTATAATCAACGGGCCGTCGTTACTGACGCGAGGTAGAGTTCCTCCGGCAATGCGGATGGTCCCCATCTTCACGCCCGTACCCACCCATTCAGAAGCTCGCCACAGCTGGATGTCACGGCCTGCTGTCGGCCGCTGGATAAACAGTGCCAAACTAGGCAACATCGAGTCGCGGCGGAACGTGAGACCGGGGCTGACCGGCAACGCTCTAGGCGGGGACGGCGGTTCGTACTCCGCCGGCGGCGGGAACGTGTCGTACGCATCCAGACCGAAGATCCAGTCAACACTCGGCGGTGGTGGCGGCAATGGCCGCGGTGGCGGCGCGACCACCGCGCTACCTTTGATTCCATCATCCAAGGTTGGACGGTCATCCCAAAGCCAGCCGCCGTTCGACGTACTGATACCCGCCGTAACGAGCACGGGAAGGCTGCTGAAGGAGCTGCTGAAGCCGAGGTACGGCACAGTGAGCGGGGCTTGCGTCGGCGTGTTGGGATCGGGGCTGCTGACGGGGCGGAGGATGATGTATCCGGAGAAGAATATTGGAGCCGGTTGGGAAGAGCGCGGGCTGGGCAAGGTGAAAGTTACCTGCGGGCAAAAGGGTAGATCACTTGAGCCGTAAATAATGAACTGAGGGAAATAGGACAGCATCAAGTTGGAGACAAGATCAGCGCCAGCACAAACATACGCACATACACACATACACACACACACACATGCACGTCCCTCGCAATCCCTTCACCCTCGCAATCCCTTCACCCTCGCAATCCCTTCACCCTCGCAATCCCTTCACCCTCGCAATGTTCCAATCCTCCGACCCCACAACCCACGCCCACAGCCCTTCCTGCCCACCTCCACCTGATCACTCCCTGCGACTCCATAGCCCCCCTCCTCCTCCTCCTCCTCCCCCTCCTCCTCCTCCTCCTCCTCTTCCTCCTCCTCCTCCTCCCCCTCCTCCTCCTCCGAGCCCTAAGTCCCCAACCCCAATTCCCAATCTCGATACGGAGTGCTCTCTTTTCAACGCACACACACACACAGGCATAAATACCATGGCCGTAACATGGGGTCAATGTTGACACACATTAACATTACACCGCCCATTTACGTTGACGAGTGCAACCGTATCCACACACCTACCCACCCGCAGCCGTATATTGCCACCCGCAGGCACCGTCATATTGGCGATGTTGCTAACGCGCGACGAGGCGAATGTCACGGATGCCGTCACAGGCGAGTAGACCGGGTCAAAAGGTGCTGCGCTCCGGTTGTTGAAGGGCCCGACGGGGGCCTTGTTCACCACCATGAGGTCCGATGAACTGATTGATGCCGCTGCCTGGTGGCCGAATTGCAAGAGGACCGGCTGAAGCCCGGTTCGATCCATAGAGACGTCAAGCCAAACGCTAAAGCTGCTACCGAAGGTCAAGTTCGACCCGAGTTCGATTTGCGCCGGGGACACATCGAAGCGGTTGGTCAGCAGGCCTGCGATGTCGACGGAACCAGAGCCCACGCGCAATGCGCTGGTAGTGGCGGCTGGCGCAGGAGAGGGGATGGGAGAGTTCGCGGGAGAGGCGGAGAGGGCGGCGCTACTGGCGTTACGGTCGAAGACGGGGCGCGACGTGATGGATAGCGCCCTGGCCACTTGTGCGGCAGTAATCGCCTGTGTGGGGATGTGCCGGATGTACGGGCGAGAGGGACGCAATGCAAGGTCAAAGAGCAGTTAGGAGCTCACCACATCGTCTCGCACTAACAAAAACAAACATGGGTGCCGTACACATATCAGATGCTTCCGCAATAACAAAGTGGCTCTTGGGCCTCTGCTACGTCCTATGGGCACTCGTTACACCTCTATCTGGGTAACGCAACCGAGGTGTAACATGCACACACATACACACATGTCAAGGGGTGGATCTAAGGCCCATGACAGGCGAGTCAAGACCGTCAGGCAGACACAGGACGCAATGGGGCCACGAAATTGAAGCAGCAGAAAGTTAGTCGGGGGGGGCTGTAGCTTTGCACATGCGCACAAGCTCTCAGCGTGCATTGCCATATATTTCAGATTCTCCACGTCGAGAACGTTGTAGCTTTTTACGGAGTATATAATTATTTGCCGCACCCTCTCATCCGCACCTGGTTCCGAATTCTGCCTGCCTCAAGCAGGAGAGCTAGCGCGCCCGACACGTAGGGAGCGGATTGCGATGTTCCGGAGCGGTAGGCAAAGTAGCCCGAGGAGGTGGAGCCGGGTACGGTGCCAGGCGCAGGACCCAAGACTAATCCCCCAGGTGCCATTACGGAGGGCTTCATTCGGAGGTCCGGGCCCTGGGATATGCAGGAAGAATTCCAAAGCAACAAAGTCGTTAATGGATTTAACAGAAATATACTGCAAAATTTCCTTGAGGGTTTACTATTGTCCTGGAATTTGACGGTTAGATCAGTGCGATGTACCTATTGGCAAACAAGAAATCGCGGGGGCGGAGTTTGACGGTTCGGATTGACGGTTAAGATATTCGACGGAACAAGACATCCCGAGATTGTACATTTGATCCTAAGCAGATACAAGTCCGAAACAGCATGAAGCAGTCGCTGCACCAGTAAAATAAGATTATTACAAAATAGCTTTATATACGTGACTGCTTTGTGCAGGTAGCAAGGATTCGACTAAACGCTGTACTCCTGGTCAACAATTTTTATTTCACTCTATTTTGTTTTGTTCCTCACTCCTATTTACCCATTCTTCTTCATCTTTTTTCCTGTCCTTTAAAAACTCCTTTGCCTTTGCGTTGGACCTCCTTCCCCAGCTTCCCACCTTCCCCCGTGACACGAGAGAACACTCACGGGGCCCCAGGAGGATGAAGCAGATACTGGAGAGCCGCTAATTTCCACAATCGTCAACTGTTGCCAGTCCTGTGTCAGCCGACGTCCACGACGCCTCACGCCGCCAGTCACGTCGCCATCGCTATCGCTACCGCTGGTCGCGGCTTCGCTAAGGATTTCGCTGTTTACGGCATCGGAGAGATGAGCGCTCGAGGCGGTGTTGGATTCTGTCGGGCTTGGAATGGAAGGTGTGGATGGTGGGTAGTTGGCCTGCGGTTGGCTGGGTGGTGGGTAGTCGGCATGCGGTTGGCTGGGTGGTGGGTAGTTGGCCTGCGGTTGGCTGGGTAGTGGGTAGTTGGCTTGCGGTTGGCTGGGTGGTGGGTAGTTGGCTTGCGGTTGGCTGGGTGGTGGGTAGATGGCCTGCGGTTGGCTGGGTGGTTGGTAGTTGGGCTGCGGTTGGCTGGGTGGTGGGTAGTTGGCCTGCGGTTGGCTGGGTGGTTGGTAGTTGGCCTGCGGTTGGCTGGGTGGTGGGTAGTTGGCCTGCGGTTGGCTGGGTGGTTGGTTATCCTGTGGGTCCGGCTGGCTGGGCGGTTGAAGACTTGGTGGCGGTTGGTCAAGCGGAGGAGCTATGGCCGGCTCCGGTTCGTTTGGAACGAGATCCACTTCCTCGCTTCTGGACCCGTCAGTGACCGGTGGAAGGGTAGTGGCTGTGGGGGAAGGTGGCAAGGGCATGGATGGGAACGCGTACTGCCCGTCCGTATTGCTCCGGGTCGATTTCGCAGGTGAAGGCGACTGAGTCCTGCGTATTGCAGCTGCCGACGTCGGGATCAAGCGTGCCGTACCGGCATCCAGCGTCACCGCCAGCACTGGCACGCTGAAGCTCGGCAGCGGCCACGAGTAGGGCACACGTACAAGGCTGCCAAGAGCTGCTGTATCGCCGTACAGTACGACGCCGACGGCTCCGGCAAGCGCGGCATTGGCGGCCTTGACGGTGGCGTCGCATCCCGCCGCCGTCAGCATCGCTACCGTACCACTTAAGTCCCCGAGCTCGGCGGCTTGGCAACCGGTGACGGTAGCGGGGAATGGCTGCAATGGCGCGTTCGCAAGGCCGCCGAGGTTGCCGTACGCCGCACGCGTGTACAGCACATAGTCGACGCCATTGGAGCTGGTAATGCGCATCCGTACGACGGAGGGAACCGCAGCGGAGTCAGTGCTGCCGACGGCGATAGCAGCCGCCGTGTTGGCAATGGAGGTGGGAAGGAAGAGACCTGACGCGCCCTCGTTCCCCACGGACGAAACCACCAGCACCCCCCGCTGCGCCAGCTGGTCGACGGCTGCAGCCACCAACCCGCCCCACGTGCCCGGAATGCCAATCGACAAATTTATGATCTGCGTTGGGCGTGAAAGGGGAGCGACAACGGAGATAGGGTTAAGGAGCGGCAAGGTCATTTCATTACACCAGGATGATGACAATGGAAAGCCACCAAGGCGCGAAAACATGAACAACAGGATGTCGTACATAAGGATTCTTGTACGACATTTTGTACCTGCATCTGGTCCTTAGCTGCCTTGTCGAGCGCCGCTATGATGACTTCATTTGTCGTACTGCCGTTGCAGCCAAACACCTTGTACGCGCCCAAGGTGACCCCCGGCGCAATGCCCGAATAGCTGAACCTGGAGCTGCTGAAGCTGCCCGCGATGATCCCCGCCACGTGGGTGCCGTGGCCCATACAGTCGTTCTGCACAGTCGTCCAGTCCATCACGGAGAGCGACGAAGGACCCACGTCACCCACGACATCGAACAAAAAGAAGCAAAAGAAGCAAAAGAAGCAAAAGAAGCAAAAGAAGCAAAAGAAGCAAAAGAAGCAAAAGAAGCAAAAGAAGCAAAAGAAGCAAAAGAAGCGAAAGAAGCAAAAGGTGGTAACGCCGTAGGCAGGGACGATTGTCGTGAAGGGCATTTAGACGAGAGGAAGGAGTTCAGCAGGAGGCGTTGAGCTTGACTCTTGAGGGGCAGGGTTTGGAGGGCGGGATTAGTTTGCTCTGGTGAATTTTTTTCTCAGAGGCTGCAGCTCCCTCCATCGTCTCGCTCTTGCGGCGGCACCTGGCCACCTGGCCACAGCTCCCCCCCCCGACCCAACCCGGCACCCAGTAAGCCCGGTGGGGACGAACGCAGCAGCCCTTCCACGCTCCACTTGGACTTACCACGTTGTCGGATTCTTCTGGAATGCCGCCCGCCACGTAGTTGTCAGGTACGAAACCCCGACGGAACGCGATGCGTGTCCCGCCAGCATTCCGGAAAGCGGGGTGCATGGGATCCACTCCGGTGTCGATTACGGCAACCTGCATGTGTGTTTTAGGAGGAGGAGGAGGGCACATTGTGGGAGAAGGACCAGCACCGCGACAGTGTCTGAACGGCTGTGAAGCATTTGATGGCTGCGGAATGTAAATGTGCCCGCGGTCAAATTGAATCGGAAAATGCGTGTTGAGGGTGTGTGTGTGTGTGTTGGGGGTGGTGGAGGCGGGGTATGGTGTTGTGGATGATGGACGAGCGTGGACCGGATGCCGCCTTGGAGAGGGGAGCTGTAGCAGCTGTAGCAGCCGTTGCGGCAGCTCCGTACAGCATTTGCAACCGCATCAGCAACTGTGGCAGCATCGGCGACTGCCGTGGAAGCGACAGCGAAGCGGCTTGGGTCGTGATGTTAAGCAGTTTCATTCTGCCACAGGACTGCGATGCGTTTTGCGGCTGCGTTGCGGCACAATCTGACATGGCGACGCACATGGTAGGGACTGCAGTACCGCATGGGATGATGAGGCTCTCCTCTTCCTCCTCTTCTAATCGTCGTCGCCATCACCATGCAGTCTCAGAGCTAACCCAAGCTCTGGATCCAATTACCAGGCGCTGCTTTCCGGGGCTTGCCCCATCCCCCTTGGAGTGAACTCTAGGATCTTAGGAGCCGCCTCAGGAAGGCCGGCCATCTGCTTCAGGGATCATGGCAGCGCTGTCACCAGCTTCTGATGCCCGCTTCAGCCCACTGGCGCCCTCGCTGCCATCATCGCTTCCACTGCTGCTGAAACCGCACTACCCACCACTGCTGCATCAGCTGCTGCAACCGCCGCCACTGTTGCCACTGTCCCTGCCCCTGCAGGCGTCAATGCAGGTGCCGCTGCAGATGCCGCTGCAGGTGCCGCTGCAGGTGCCGCTGCAGGTGTCGCTGCAGGCGCCGCTGCAGGCGCCGCTGCAGGCGCCGCTGCAGGTGCCGCTGCATGGCCGCCGCTGCAGGTGCCGCTGCAGGCGCCGCTGCAGGCGCCGCTGCAGGTGCCGCTGCATGTGCCGCTGCATGTGCCGCTGGCCCTGCAGGTGCCACTGCAGGTGCCGCTGCAGGCGCCGCTGCAGGCGCCGCTGCATGTGCCGCTGCATGTGCCGCTGGCCCTGCAGGTGCCACTGCAGGTGCCGCTGCAGGCGCCGCTGCAGGCGCCGCTACCGCTGCATGTGCCGCTGCATGTGCCGCTGCTGCTGTAGCTGCAGGCGACGCTGCAGGCGCCGCTACCGCTGCATGTGCCGCTGCAGGCGCCGCTGCAGGCGCCGCTGCAGGCGCCGCTACCGCTGCATGTGCCGCTGCATGTGCCGCTGCATGTGCCGCTGCATGTGCCCCTACAGGTGCCGCTGCTGCTGTAGCTGCAGTTGCCCCTGCAGGTGCCGCTGCCGTGACGGGCGCATCGTTTCATGTTTCCGTCTGATTATCCCTGACCATTCATTAAGCAATTATACTATGATGAGGGCAGGGCAGGGCAGTGCCATCGGACCCCAGTGCTTACCCTAACATCAGCTCCAGACAGCCGCGGGAAGCCCAACGATGCAAGCGTGGTGCTGACGCTGCCAGTCGCAGATGAATTTGCAGCATAGTCGCCAAACAAAGTTGCGGGATCAATTCTCATGATGTTGGCTGCCTCAGGGGGGGGTATCAGCACCTGAGGCGCAAGCGACCATAACGCGCAAGGGACCAAGCGGCCCAACCGGCTCAGTAGCCAACCGCCCGCCAGGCGAAATTTGCACCTAACATACGTTCGTTTGAAATGCCAGAATCAAAGAAATGAAAACATGGTTGCCGGTATGCATTTTGCACGCCTCGGAGAGGCACGGCTTAGGAGTGCGGTTAATTGGCCTACCGACATGTAACCAGGGCTTACCACTGGGTATACAGATAACACTCCATTTGCCTCATCAAGCGCCTCAAGAGTGGCGTCGATATCATCGGTCTCCAGGCTGAAACCCTTGAACGCCACTTCGTACTTTTGCACAACTCGAACCTCAACCCGTTGCTTTCTGAGTGTATCCACGATTGACTGCGCACTGTCCAGGGACGGGCCGGACTTCCGCCCTGCGACTCTATTACTGCTCGAGCGCAGTTTAACAAGGAAGCGACCAGGAAGCACCTCGCTTGACGCCGATGAAGTTTGTCCATTTAAAAAATCATCTGATGAAACTAATTTTCGAGAACGATACCGTTGGCTGGGTCGTGCATCTGCGGAATAGCTCCCAGAGAGCGTAAGGAAAATTAACACGACCAAAGCGTAGCTGATAGCTGTCCAATTCATTTTAAGGACTATCTGGTTAAAAATACGCTGCTGTTGGATTAGGAGTCCTCAGCGCCGTAGTCCACGTCTTTGCATGGTCTCCCGCAACCAGAAGTATTCTTGAAATGCAAAAGCAGACCTGCATTACGTATCCATATAACCGTCTTACAGCATAAGTCCTAAACCCGCCTCCCTCAGTAAGGCGTAACGAGACCGTGGCGGGCGTTGGAGCGTAACAGTAACGCATCGTCGGTTTGATGAACTTACCTTGCAATCGTTATGTCCCTTAGCAACTCTTATGGATCGCTGCTAAAAAGCGATAGCAGCAAATGTTACGCCCTGATAACGCAATCCGAACTATGTAAAGTCGTTCGTGCTTTTGTGCGCCAAAGGCCTTAAGACGCCACATCAGAAGACAATCGATCTATATTATGCGATTGTCACTGGCTATTTATTCAAATACGGGTGCTGCGAGGAAGCTGTCACACTTCATGCCGTACACAATACAGCAGCACAACTGGGCAACGGTCGGCAGGTAAGATAGCGCCCCACCGTAAAAAGTCTACGAACCCGGAAATTGTTGTACAAATGCATACTATTGGTGAAAATTCCTGCATCTATGCCTCGTCCCTGCAGCAAGCTTGGCGTCGGAGCAATATTGTGCATCACCACGTTAAATGGATATGCAACTCTTATAAATACCATGTTACAGAGCTGGACGTTCATCATGGGAGCCTTCGCGGATACATACACGATCGATAAAGTCAGGCGGCTTTTCTGCGAGGGTCTTTATAACGCACGGCCGGCGATTGGTTTGCACCTCTAAACTTCGTATGGAGAAATTCCCGGTGTCTCCCAACTCGTTCGGCCCGTTTATTTGCAGCTGATGACCCGAATCATGCAGAGCCCCTGCCCGCCATTGCAGGATGACTATAGCCTGCATGATCCTAGTAGAAGGGGGTAGAAATAGTTTAATTTCAAGCACATCGGACATAATTTCAGTTACTTTCCTGGCATCCTAATGCGCAGACCTTCAAGCTGCAGGTAGCCGATTCCTCTGGCCCTGGGGGTACGTTCGGGCACGCACGCCTGCCATCTTTCAATTCCCAAAACTAGTGTCGCGCACAGACAACTGAAGACCTACATGCAACCGTAACGCGATGGAGGTATGGGTTCACGCACATCCGCAAACGTGTGCTACAGTCCCCCCGGCCTCTAGGAGACCCGGCGAATACGTACAGCGCACCTGACGTATTGGAGGAGCTGCACAACTGGCGAGCCTGGGCACGAACCCTCGAATCGAAGAACAACACTTCCCATGCGCAATGCGAAAACAAATTTAAAGGCGACAGGTTTATCCGCCTGCGTTGGCAAAGGCAGGCCCCTGCATGCTAACGAGCACTGCTGTATGCCGCCCTGTCGATGCGCCGCCACCACCGCGCGCCTCATCCTTTGCGCGACGATCCCTCGGCGCGCACGGCAGCGTGCTATCATCCGCACGAAATCAGGGTGGCGTGGTCCTGCCCACTGCCCACTGGCTTCATCGGCTCCGCATTGGGAAGTCATGGGTTCTACCGTAACTCCTATGCAGCTTTGCGCTCTCAATCTTTTCCATCCATCTGATTGATCCATCTTGATTGGCTCCGTTCCTTAACCAGCGCGGCGAATTGGGCAAGAGTGCAGTAAATGCTTTTGTGTCAGTATACATAGTTCGCATGCAATCTGTTGCTGCTGTCTCTATACCGGCAGCCTGTTTCCACTGCGTGCTGCCTGACTGGCTGGCTGGCTGGCTGGCGCGCAACCTTTGGGGACAAACACCGACGTCTCCGCTGTAAGTCTACCACAGCCTGTCCACCAAGGTTTGGGTCTCTTCGGCTGCAAGCTGCAAGTACCTGTCTGGATGGTAGTACAGTGCACGCAGGGCGTCGTTTCCACGCCTTATGCGCGTGTTTGTTCCGAACGAGCCACGGTGTTGCAGCAGACCCATCAACACAGGGGGATCTACGGAGTCGTTGTTCTGCTGCTGTGTCCTGCTTTGTCTTCTGTCCTGAATCAAAGTTCGCTTCTAAGATAGAAGTTCTATCAGAGGACTTTAAGCACACACACACACACACACCGCTGACGGAGATGCAAAAGCAAAAGGCTCACACAGCGGCTATTCGTATCGCTCAGAGGACAGCGCTGCCAGCTGCTTCGTTGCCTGCTAGCTACCTGATCTCAGACCTAAGAGATTCGTACTGCGCAGCTGCAACCGATTGCTGCTGCCAAATGATGATGTGCAAGCACCCAGCCACGTGGCTGGGTGCACCCGAACGCGCACCTCGCCCTACCATTCTTCCATCCTCTGCCCTTCCCCCTGTCCAAGCCGGGGTACGCTTTGTTGTTTTCTTTCAAATGATATTAGCCTGGCATTTGTGTGCTACTCTCGCTGCTAAGGAGACATCGAGTTGGTATTCACCAACATCCTTTGCCCAGCGCGCCCACTGGTCTTCGGAGGTAAGGTGCGAGGGACCGCGGGCCACAGTTTACAAAACAAATAATATTACTTTGCCTTGACGGGGCCGGTTAGGTCGGTAACGCGCCCGGTCAGCTCGTCGCCATCGACCTGACAGGATGAACGAACCGTATCGCGTGGCGTTGCGAAGAAGCCTCCCTGTACATCGCGATAGGTCAGCTTGGCTATTTGGTCATAGAGAATAACTAATCCTCCTTGAATTTTACATAAGCCGGCCCGTTAACTGACTGGATTTTGGGGTGCACAGCATCTGGCTAATCGTGGCGGATAAGTGCGCACAACTGGGCTTAGATGTCGTCCTATTGTTGATAGCAAGGCTCTACAATATAAACTTCTGTTACATGCCTGTCTCTTGGGGGCAGCAAGCGCAAGGACGCATTACATGCTGCTGCAATCGCGGCACTTGGCGATATTTGCAGGCTGATTGGCGTTAATTAGCGCGCGCATTGGTTTGACATCCTTAATTTGTATGCATGAACAGATATTCCAAGATATTCCAACAATAGGATTGTAAATGAGTTCATCATCGGGGCAATGACACACTTCAGCCCTACAGTGATTTATTTCCAATATTTCAGCCCCTGTAACAATAACTGAGCCACATGCGCCTGCATGTTTTGCAGTGGCATCTTCCTCAGGGTATTTTCCGCCCACCAATAATCTTGCCTGGCGGTGACGAATGAACGCCCCGTCATGTCCCCAGGCAGCCAGCAGACCGTCATGTCCCCAGGACAGGTCGGTGGTTGCTTTCAATTCTCTTTCCTATAGCATTCTACTGCAGATGTAAAAATTACTTTTAGACCTCTCGGTATAGGAAAAAGCAATGGAGCAGCGCGACGCGAAGAAAAAGGAAAACCGACAGCGCCCACCCCATGCTGGCGCAAAGACCAAAATGCAGAGCCCAGATATAAATAGGCAAAATGACAGGGACTCAGCCAAAAAAGAGATAGATACATTTAGATACGCCGACGCTGATCAAGCCTCGCTCACCAAGGCACAAGCAACACACCTTTTGATGGTGCTACCGTGCACGGCCGCCGATACGCCATAGAAGTGTACGCATAAGGTCAGATATACGGGCCAGTTTTACATGCCGTTATTGATGGATCCACAGATTGACTAAGTGGCAACAGGTAGCTACAGATTGATTGTTGGAGCATGTCACTTTAATACTGCAACAGATCGTTTATTCCTGCTTGTATGTAGCACATTAAACCAGAAAATTTCGGAAACCAATACATATTTATGAGATAGGCATTAAAACATCTTGCAACCTGACTACATGACTTGGTATAATTGTTGCGTCCCCAGATACGTGCGACCTGCGCGCGGAGGAGTCTTAGAATGGCTAGCGTAATCCTGCAGATCGAGATGCAAAGATGCAAAAAGATAAGGCAGGTAATGTACCTGGATATATTATTATATAATAATTTTGCATACTTATGGCTCCTGATACCTGGGCGATCATAGTCGTTAATGATGAAACTTACGTGGTATAGTATCGCAGCTGCGGGGCCGCAACTATTCACCCAAACGCCATGCGTCTCTATAAAAGTGACAAATATAATATATAATAAGTTACATTTTTTATCTTGCCGGCAGCTGGTGCTGTCCCTCTCCAAGGGTTTCATCCTACGCGTGCGCGGTTCTCGCAACATAGTCCCCCCAGTTGAGACGGAGTACGGCGTTGCTTCGGTCAAAGCTTCAAACGAATTCATCTCGGCATGGAAAAGCGCAGATTGGAAAGTTGCATGGATTTATTTTGAAAGTTTCTGCACTGGATACCCGCTCGCAGCAAAACGAGGGAAGCAAGCTCGCCGTCACACGATCAAAATCAAGAAGATCCGTTATACGGTAATGGAGCTGATCGAGGGTCGCAAGATGTAGAAGAGGTAATGTACGAAGGGAAGTTATGGCAAGTTGGGACAACGGTGTACTTCATCCGCGGAGTAGGTGGCGCGAGTATAGAGTCCGCAGATCACGAGTTGCGCGTTCTGTACACACAAAAGTCCAGGATCATCTTCGCCGCACCATTAAGGCCTGCCTGCCTGCCTGCCTGCCTGCCTGCCTGCCTGCCTGCCTGCCTGCCTGCCTGCCTGCCTGCCTGCCTGCCTGCCTGCCTGCCTGCCTGCCTGCCTGCCTGCCTGCCTGCCTGCCTGCCTGCCTGCCTACTTGCCTGCCTGCCTGCCTGCCTGCCTGCCTGCCTGCCTGCCTGCCTGCCTGCCTGCCTGCCTGCCTGCCTGCCTGCCTGCCTGCCTGCCTGCCTGAGCCATTGTTTTCCAGGTATGCACCAGTACACACACGCTGGGTTTCTCTAGGCCGACTCTGCCACGGTGGCGAGATGACGACTTATTGTCGTTCACGGGTTCCATCTCCTGTTGCGCACAGTCGCATGATGTCTCTAAGCCAAGCGGCATGGGGCTTACTCACACCTTTGCCTTAGACAATGCCTCGGCAAGGAGTATTAGTACTCGTTTCGCCACCTGTATGCAGGTATGTGCAGGTATATGCAGGTATGCAGGTATGCAGGTATGCAGGTATGCAGGTATGCAGGTATGCAGGTATGCAGGTATGCAGGTATGCAGGTATGCAGGTATGCAGGTATGCAGGTATGCAGGTATGCAGGTATGCAGGTATGCGGGTATGCAGGTTTGCGGGTATGCAGGTATGCAGGGGATCTTCTCCCATCCTGTCTTTCCAAGGTACTCCCCCCAGGTACTGGCGGCCATGCTCTTGTGTGTGAGCTACCACACAAGGAAAGACGGTAAAAATGACGTGACGTTGAAAATGATGTGGCATGCTGCGTGCTTCAGCGGAATGTGAGTGTACAAAGGTGAAAAAGGTGCTGTGGCTGCAAGTAGCCGATCCCAGGGTATTTTCGGCTTCGATGGTTGCCACGATGGCATGAAGCTTTTTTTTTGCGGCATATATTCCGAATTCGGAATAAAAAATTGTTCGCGGTCCTGAAAAATAAAAAATAAATAATGTTCCGACCGTACAAGTTCATTCCTCCAGCCAAAAATGGACTGTTTATGCCAAAGCCGCTAGAATCGTACAGGAGACATACATGTTAACCATATCATAGTACTTTAATGCCATGGATACTGTTAGGAAGGTCACGCCCGAAAGTCAACGAGGAATCGGACTGTTTCTGACCGGACCAAACGCTGCAAAATATTCGGACCTGAAGCTCCCAAAACGTGGAAGGCCATTAAAGAAACTATTTAAACTTCACTGAAGCCATTAGCGACGGTAATGAAGACGGCCTAGAGGTCGTAGGCAATGTGGACGCAATGCTGCAGCCAGCCGACGACAATGACTCCACTCCGGTTGTCACGAGCGGGCCAAACGTCAACGTTTATCATATGGAGACAATCGCGATGGGCCAGGAAACACGGGCGTCGAGGTCGATGGCAGCAGCGACCCCGATGCTGCAGCTAAGACTCCTAACCCCACACTCCGCGGCGCAAAGATGCCCCGACCACAGACGCAGCGGGTCGTGAAGGGGCAGAGCGACGGCGCGTGGCTGGAGAAGAAGGATAAGCATCCCCTTAAGTGGCAACTGTACTTCGGAGCTATGTTTACATGGGCGCAGTGCATTACTGCGGATGTGAGTAAGGGGGAGGTGCACGACATGGTGCGCTGCAGCCCATGCTCCCTGCACAAATAATCTGGAAAGTTATATAGTGTTATCTATCCACGTGATGCAAAACGAACGACGGTGAACGAACTCTATTTGATCAGTGCTTGAGTAGGGGTTAACTGGTCTGTGTTTGCTTGGGCTCTGCAACAGCAGTCCCCCGTGCGACCGGGGTTCCTGTCAAAGCGTCCAAGTGCGCGGCGCTTCCTGGCGTGCAAGAGACACTTCTATGGAGAGATTGCGGTGTGCGCGTGTTGCGATATTCCCCAACCCCTGTGTTTGTACAAACTAAACAAAAACTCATCCGGGGGGGTCGGGGGGGGGCGTAGCCCCCCCCAGCGCCTTGCAGATTCGGAATACTTTTATTCCCGTCGACTAAAAACCTATTCCTCCATTCGGACTGGAAAATTGACGGGCAAAAATGAAAAAAACACTGATGGCATGCATGGCAATAAGGTGGTTTATTGCCACGCCAGCATCGGCAAGCCTTGTATAGCTGCATGTCATGAGCTTACTCCTAGCTGCTTACGATGTGGGCTCCTAACCTTCTCGTTGCATGACCTTCTGCGACGTTCTGTGTGTTGCTGCCAGCGTGGCCATCTTCCGTGTTGGGGAAATGGCAACCAGTGCTTTTTTCCAACCCCGTCGGAACTTGGCCAAAAAACAGCTAGCTGGCCCGAAAAAGGTCATCCATCCGGCTGGTTTAACAGCGCTGGTGCGATTTTCCGTAAACTTTTAAGCTTTATGAAATGCACGATGACTTGAAAGGAGGAAATTCCAAAGGAGAAAATTACAAAACTGAAGTTCTTATAAAGTATGATTTTGGTTACTGAAGATAGCCACGCTGGATGCTGCTCTTCCCTGGACTTCCCCCTTCCGTTCCCCTTCTTAGGTCGGTTGGTCCAATCACCGCAGCCAGAGCATCATCATCATCATCATCATCATCACATCATCACATCAATAACCACATCAACATCATCATGATCTCATCGTCAGCATCACATCATCAAATCATCATCATCAAATCATCATCAAATTATCATCACGCCATCATCAAATCATCATCAACATCAGCATCAGCATCATCACATCAGCATCATTATCATATCATCATCATCATCATCATCATCCCATCATCCCATCATCTTCATCATCCCATCATCCCATCATCTTCATCATCCCATCATCATATCATCCCATCATCCCATCATCATCATCATCACATCATCATCACATCATCATCATCATCATCACATCATCACATCATCATCATCATCATCACATCAATAACCACATCAACATCATCATGATCTCATCATCATCATCACATCATCAGCATCACATCATCATCATTATCATCACATCATCATCATCATCATCATCATCATCATCATCACATCATCATCAACGCATCATCAACGCATCATCATCACATCATCATCACATCATCATCACATCATCATCACATCATCACACATCAGCAGCATCCCCATCCCCAGCACCAGCACCAGCACCAGCGCCAGCATCATGATATCATCATCATCACATCATCATCACATCATCATCACATCATCGTCATCATCATCATCGTCATCATCATCATCGTCATCATCATCATCGTCGCCAGCAGCACCACTGAGGCGTAAGATGGCATGCATTTTGCAAAGTATCCTCACTTCACAAGAAGAAGGAATAGAGTGCGGAGTAGTGGCCATCGAAGGATGGCCGTGTCAAACTTACTGTTATTCGACTCAACTCCTTTGCCTCCTCTCTTGCATGTGCTGCTTTCGTGGGTGCGGGGTACCTCGGTGACGATTAAGCCGTGCTCAACAGGCGTGCATCCGCAGGCAACCGCGCTTCGATTGCATCTTGCCTCAATTATTTAGGGAGAACCAGGGTATTGGGTGATTTTGATTTGGGAATTACAAAAGAGCTGCAACGAGGATTTACGAACAAGCCACAGGGAAGCTGCCGGCCATCCCTAAGAGCCGGCTCGCTGTAAAGAAGGAAGTTCGCAAAATGTGCCAGTACATAACGTGGCTGTTCCCACTAAGCAGATATGTTCGCATGGAAACTTTAAGCTGAGTCGAAGAAGGAGCAGTACAGTACCACCTACCACGGCTTGCGCCACCTATCCAACATCGTGTAGTAATGGTTTCTCACGCTTCCTTTAAAACTTCTAATAACCTTATCAAAACTCTTAAATTTTTTCCAGGTCTCTAGCTCTGAAGTTAACACCTTCCCCAGACTTGTCGAATACCTAGACAACGCACAACTCTAGGGAATCGATCACTGCCCCCCGTCGGGCGAACAAACCTCTGTCGTCTCAACACTCAAACTGTGATGTCTTACGGAGAATGTGGAGGATGTTTAAACGCACGAAGATTCAAAGTTCGCATGCAGTAAAAACCCCGAGCTGGTCGATAGTTTCCCTTTGACAGCTGGCGAGTTGCTACATGTCCTGATCTAGGAAATCGGAGTCCTTCTCGCAAACAGGTAATTGTTGCGCATCTCCACGTGCCGTCCCCTGCTTGTTGCTTGTTAGCCTTTCCTGGGGTTGCACATCCGGCGTTTAATTCTAGGAGCCTGGGTCACAAGCTATGCTGAAAAGCGCGCGCGGCAAATCGGCGGTTACACAGACGGATCCGACGGCCATGAGGTCATGACATACCAATCAGGTTCATGACCATGCACCAGCCAGGTCACATTAAACAACACATCAGTACCTCTACTCTACCGCTTTGATATCTCCATTCGACACTATCGGAAGGCCTGCCAGCCCACACCGACCCACAAGCTCAACGGGCGGTCAAGTCGCATCGCAGAGGTCGAGACCCGGAACACATCAACACGTCCCCCCCTTGGAACCCGGTGAAACGCAACTTTGTGTGTTTCAAACTTGCTGCAAACACCCAACTTGTTCCCACCCACCCACCCACTTACAGGCAATCTTACCAACGACGCCATGACAAAAGCTCATGAGACCGCGCGCACCCACAAGGTTGTATAACATTGTAGTGACGTTCCCACGCACCAAGGAACATCGCGATAATGAACATCACCACACGCATCAGCCAGCTGCCTCACTTGGCCTCTGCCAGGCGGACGTGCACCAACAGTACACAGGAGCACGCCCCTGTGCCCGCTTCACAAGTTGGGTCCCCACCCACGCGGGACATCCGCCTGCGGGAGGAGGAGGGGCGATGTCTACATGTCCACATGTCCACCCGCCGCGGCATTCAGTTGCTGTGGCTCCACGCCGCCTCCCACAGCCTTCCTCGCCATCACCCATCCGGACGGGGATCTTCAGGGCCGCCGATGGGAGGTGGCGGGATCCTCGGCATGTCGTCATCACATCCACCCGCCGCCGGGCCCCGCGGCTCCCGGAACTCGAAGTATCCAGCGTAGGCCTTGCGAGCCGCCGCCGCGTCGCTGAGCTTGTAGGCGCCCGCTCTGAGGGACTCCAGTTCCAAGGAGAAGTTCCCCCCGGGGGCCATGTCCTCACTGGCAGCCATGGTGATACCGAACTGTAGTACAAATCGGGTGGTTGGGGGAAACGGAAAGGGTAACTGCCTGTGGGCGTGCCGGTAGGCCAATCATGGCCCAATAGCGCACGGCAATACTGAGCGACCACAACAATGACGCGTGCGGGGTGCGGGGTGCGGGGTGGGAAAGAGGGTTGAGGAGGATGAGGATGAGAATGAGGATGACCAGGATAATAATGAGGCAGGGACTGCCGCATTCACAGAGACTCCAGTTTCAACCTTGCGGCTATGCTCATTCACTCGTTCAAGCACGCATGCACGCACGCAAGCTTACAAATACAGTAGATACATACATATAAACCCATTCACACCTGGGTCTTACCGAGATGATGTTGTGACGGGGCATTCCCACCGACGTGGGCGCATAGTGCGTCACCAGCCGCCCACGGAACGTGAAGACGAAGTCACGGAAGTCCAGACGAACGTCTTGCCAGGCTCCAGGGCTGGTACACAGCAGCAGCCGCACGCCGCAGCAGCCACAACACCGCACCGCCGCCGGCGCACCGGCATCGTCACCGCGGCAGCAGGGATAGTGGTTGTAGCGATGGTGGCGAAATAGCGATTGATGGTGGTGATGGTGTAGTGGTTTTCGAGAGGTTTTGAACAACATGAAGGGAGGCGGGAGGTATAGCACGAAACGAAGGGTGGGGAGCATGACTCATGGGACACAGCGTGGGCTGGCACCCGCTCGTGCCTGGCCTTTGCGCCACGCGGCTCATTGCCGTTACACCAAACATCCCCGTAAAGAGCCACACATGTTCTTGCTATTCACTCCTCCAGCACTTACAACTTCATTTCATAATTTTTGACTCGTTCGGACAGATACTGGGATGTTTATCTGGCACAAGGGGGAGGCCTCCACCCACTTTTCAGAGTTTGGGTTGAAGGGGTGAGGTGGCACCCCGCCAGTCGCACCATGCAACAGTCGCTCTCAAATGCGCCTCTGGCGCTTCCTTCGCTGTCCTACCTCGTTTTCAACGTTGCTTGCCACACCTCCTCATCTCCCCCAGTCAACTGGTCCAAGCGGATGTTGGCTAGATATGTGTTGCCATCACCGCGCAACCGAATATCCAGAAAGTCATATTTGCGAAGGTTTAAGGGCTGGGAACGCTGCAGATGGCGACAATACATGACACAGGTAAGGGGCATTGCCCATCCCAGCTAGGAAAAGCAACGCCTCACCACTTGATTGATGCCACAATACCCTGATCGGATAAGTTTTGAATCCTCTAGCACCTCCTTGGAATAAGTTCCTGAGAACACTGCGGTCTGAGGTAACAATAGCTGTCAGGCAAACAGAGTCAGTCGTAGGAGTGGGCTGACACACACCTTTCCGCTTTCGGACAAGTGAAAAGTTGCCTTCGACAACCCTCCAAAACTTGCATCCGAAAACACATTCCACGCAGCTACATCGCGCTGTGTCTTGAAAGCATACAGTACTTTCGGCTCAGGTGTAAGATCAACTGTGCCAATAATAATGATCGTAAGAAACATTAGTATGTAAACCTATGCGGATGTGCTGGCGCAAACCTGAGAAAAATCGGTCGACTGCTCGCCATGCCCTGCGAAGAAATCCCGATCCAGTGCCCGCAAGGCTGGTCATTGCAGGATATACATATCAATCGAATTATGAAAGGTTCCAAAGCTGGCTACGGGTTCCAACGCCAAGCCAGTTGGGAAGGGAAAGAACAAATTGCAGGGTTCAGATTACTGTAACATCTGCCATACTAAGTGCCGAAACCTCCAAATCCGATAAGAACAACACACCCGAGCAGAGACGGCAAGCCGCTTACCGGGCTAACGATTAACGGACAACTGAGAATCCTCGTCCCTTCACCAAACCTCTCCGTGACCCCTTCCTCCCTGCTCTCTTTCACTTCAGGCTCATTTTAACCAATGGATAAAAGAATTCTTCTATCTTTGTAAATTAAAAATTGGCAAATCCTTAGCCCCCTCCTGTCCCTCCCGCTTATGCTATCCACCTCACTATCCTCTCCCCTGCAATCCCAACGCATGTGCAACAACTGGCCTCAGTAAACATACGGGACGATCCGGTACCTAACCAGCGCGCAGTACTTGTCCCAATCCTTGCCATACTTTTGCCGGCAAGCATGCTCGTCGCGGCGTTCCCGGTGTATCAGCAGCGCGGCGAAGTAAATGCAGTAAAAGTAAGGCACAACGGCTGAGAGCCCGGCAAGTCCTGCCGGCATGCACCAAGCAACCCTGCGAGCGCGGAGAAAACAACCAAACAGGTTCCACGCAGGTTCTACTTAAAAAGATAAACGTATATTGAGACCAACGTGAAATTATCTTATAAGTATAAAGTCGAGGTCAACCCAACATTGAAAGACCACCGACTGTTGTCCAAGCCGGCCGGCGCACCCGCCTACTAAAATTCACCCGTCCACCCGATCCCCGCACCCCTCCCATTCATCCATGCCAACCCAACCCAGTAAGCCAAGGAAAGCCCAGTCCCAACCCCCCGCCTGCACGGAACGGTCTCACCCCATGATCCAGTCCCCAAAGTAGTTGATGTGCCGCGCCGTGCCCCACCAGCCGCTCACGATTAGCGATGTGCCGCGTTCGGTCTTTAGGGTGCGCAGGTGAGCGACCCGTGGGTCATTCGGATTGGACCGGAACATATCCTTCTGGCTGTTGGCGCCTCGGAAGATGTAGTAGCCCAGGGCCTTGACTGCCAGAACCAGCACCAACCCCAGGACGGACAGATGCTGCACGGCAGGCGACAACATTCCCGCAACACACGACACGGTTTAACATCACCAGCATTTCCTTCTCGCGGCGCAGTCACTTTCAAAAACAAGCTCATACGCGCACGGCAGAGGGCGGAAGGGATTTCAGGGAGGTGCAGGATGGCGGGCGGGTTAAAGCGAGCGGCGGCGGCGGCGTGGGGGACAACATGAAACACATATACTGGAGAAGTGCATTTGGCCGCACTGCTTGACAAGAAGGGGAAGGAGACGGAATCAATCCTGCGAGAGGTCGGAATGTAACCTAGTATTGATAGACATCCCGGACCTCATGGACAACAATAGAGTAGTATACGTCTGTGACCCCGCAGGTAGCACCCCCGGGCAAATACGTACAAAGTAAAGAAGCACCACGCAATCTGGCCGGACGGACTGGCAAACACACAAGACCGACAGACAGACAAACAAACACAAGGAGAGAGACACACACACATACAGCACTTCGTTCTCGCGGCTCACCTCATCGAAGCGCAGAGAGACAGAAATGCTGGCAGACAGACAGACCTGACAGACAGACAGACAAACACGCACCTGTGGATGGTCCACCAGGTACCTTGCAGCAGACGTGAAGGTGAAGGGCACCCAGGCCAGGTCGCCAAACGCCAGCATGAAGCCAAAACCATCCGTAGTGATATCCATGGTGGTCAGGATGGCGCGCTCACACCACAGCGCATCGATGATGTAATAGAGCTGGAAGGCGTTGACCAGCACCATCGAGTTGGAAATGGACCCGTGGTTCGCCAGCTGCTTGTGCGCCATGCCCAGGTTCAACAGCGCCCAACCTAGCCGGGCATGCCGAGTTATGAGTATGGGAGGGATTGGGTTCCGTTAGGTCGGTAAGTGCACGGTTGGTTTCGGAGAGGTGGACTGACGATATGCGGCGAAGCAGGTGCCTCAGATTCACATATAAACACACACACACGCACACACGAGCCAGTCAGCTCCTGTATCAATGTCAGTTCCTGCGCCGGGAAATCAACGTCCGGTGTTGTTGTAAAGGTGGCAGCTGGGCCCCCTGAATGAACGAAACGCGGTACACGCGGGATGGAACACTTCACCGGCCACGTCAATGAGCTCAAAAAAACCGAAGGCGCCAAGCTCCATGGGGCCACTGAGCTCGCGCCCATAAGGTGCCCTGCCAACTCACCGATAAGACCCGGGTACAGCTCGCAAAATTCCTTTAGATCGAACCTGCCTCCCAACAGGCGCGGGTTCAACTCCCGACCCATCCAAAAGTCGTAAACGGGGTACCTTCATTGGACCATCCGCCACAGCGGCAAGAGTGGCGGACGCATGATGGCGATGGGCAGGGAAGACGGGAGAAAGACATGGGGGGGCCGCGATATGTACGAAATCTAAGTGGAGGTGGACAGGGGAAAAGAGCGCTCGAAATGTGTGTGCGCGCATGGAGATGAGACAGATTACAGGAGAGGGGCGGAGAGGTATTGCGTCTTGACAAGAACGTAGAAGCTAAAATGGTGGGAGAAATGGACGGCGGCATGACGGGGTGTCTGTAGGGCGGATGACGGTTGTCAGCCGCTCACTGGCCTGGCTGGGGTCATCTCAGACGCAGCGAGCGAGTCTAGTCCCCTTTACCCCATCCCTTGCGCCATCACTCTCCCTGACTGCGTCTCCTTCCATTTCCGTTCACGACTCCATCTTCACGACACGCCATCATTGATTCGTTGCATCCCTTTGTGTCAAATTTAGTTCGCAAACGCGGTGAGGTTCATGTCTTGACTTTGTTGATGATGCGCTTCTTGAATCTTCAGCTCGAAGTTGCATCTACTGCAGGACACCCGATGAGGACACTCACCCCAGGGCGTGTGTCCCCGGCACTACCACCGACCCCGGTGAGAGACTACTTACCCGGTATTGCCATGGCTGCTCAGCAGCAGGCCCTTCTGAAACGATGAGACATACAGATACACAGACAATGACGAACTGAAGATGATGGACGCCGTCAGCAGCGGTGCAAACTGGTCGTACAACCAGCCCAGGTTCAGATACTCGGTGAAGAAGCCGAAGTAAAACGCAGCTCCGTACACCAGTACGAAAAGTCTGAATGCTGTACAGGGGGCGGATTACAAGATAACAGTCGCGGTGATAGCGCTGCAGGAAAGAGCGGTCGCGGCTTTGCATAAATGTTCATGTAAGTTGCTAGTATCAACCTTAAGAAGCAGAGTTCTGGACATTTTTTTGTCGGGGCACATGAAGACCGGTGGGGCTCTGGAGTGACAAGGCTTGCCTTGCCACCTCGCTCAGCAACGCACAGTTGTGGGCTCGAGCAGCCATCGGCCCCCTACACGAGGAAGGAAGCTAAGGGTCGGCTGGCCGGTGTTTCGGAGGTCCACCCGGTCCATTCAGCGCGAGCTCGCCAGTGTCATGGCAACGCTGTGAGCTCAGTCGAAAGCACCGAGAGCGGCAATCAGATCCCGCAGCACCGCTAATAAGGCGCAGCCCGCCCAGCTGCCGTCCTCTGTGGCTCTGCTGACAGTGCTCAATGATGGTCAATGCTGGATAGATCAGGCCGACCATCGGATTACAGGTCCATTGGTCCCTCCCTCCTCTGTATATCTCGAACCACCGTGGAGATCCCGGGCTGCGCCTTATTAGCGGTGCTGCGGGATCTGATTGCCGCTCTCGGTGCTTTCGACTGAGCTCACAGCGTTGCCATGACACTGGCGAGCTCGCGCTGAATGGACCGGGTGGACCTCCGAAACACCGGCCAGTCGACCCTTAGCTTCCTTCCTCGTGCAGGGGGCCGATGGCTGCTCGAGCCCACAACTGTGCGTTGCTGAGCGAGGTGGCAAGGCAAGCCTTGTCACTCCAGAGCCCCACCGGTCTTCATGTGCCCCGACAAAAAAATGTCCAGAACTCTGCTTCTTAAGGTTGATACTAGGCGGATTTCACGAGCGGGGACGCTAATGACTCCCTGCCCCGTTCCGTATCAGGATGAGCTCGTTATCGACTCCAACCCCCGACACGGCGTAGACAGCATCAGGTGCCAAACGTGCAATATTGGGCTAAGGCGACCTAGCCTGCGGAAATTTTCTCTGTCTGTCGTAAGGAATGCGGCGGCCACAGCTGTCAAGGGAGAGTAAGTGGCCTTGCAGTTGGACTGTAGTTCTACGCAGGTGTAGTTCTACGCAAGTTTGCAGGCCAGGGTCGGATTATTTCCAAAGTCCACTTTGATCTAGGCGAAGGGGGAGCGTGGAGCTATTCAAAATTCAGTCTGTGTTACCCCGCTGCCATAATGGGCCCCGCATCATGGTGTTCCATCTATCTGGTGAGTCCCCTCCCAGTGCACATTCCTTACCATTAAGTTTGTACGCAAGCCGCTTCCCATTGGGCAGCAGGACGCCCTCGGTTCGTTGACCCGGTAGCACCACATGCAGGAATGCCAGTCCGAAAAACCACGCAAGGTAGATTAAGAGCGCATCCCAGCTGTACCACTTGATGCTAACATCAAACGATGACAGTTTAAGCATTGGCCACAGCTGAAGACATGAGTTCTTGTTGCATCCTAGAATGAGCGCGTAGCAGACAGCGGGCAGAACAATGACAAGCAGAGCGGGGCCATACGGACCAAAGAATTCAAAATGATGTTCTTCCTTCGCAATCTTTCTTGCTTTATCGACCATGGTCTCAGTTATGCTTGCACCTTGCTTACACCGCGTTTTTCTCTCTAGGTCCGAAAAGCCGACTTTAGCAAAGATAATCTACAGGACTACAGATGCCGGCTTTTCGATTGGATATAGCTGTTATGCTGAAGCTGGCTAAGTACAGAAGCTAGGCAGCTGGCTGAACGTACGACCACTACAATGACAGCCGCACGGTCTACGCTTCCTCTGATGTATCCGCTCAAACCCTGCTTGTCCTTTAAGCTAAGCTTTACACGACAGCCGTGGGAGCCCGTGATGTGCCCCAAAGGCATATCACGTAATGTCTACGCCTGTAGGTGGCCTGTACTACGTCCTAACATGCCCTAACTTCCTGTAGGTTTCGGTGGCCCGAGCTGCCCAAGCTGCCAACACAAATTCACCGGTCTCCCCATCATGCCGGCCCTAGGCTGCAGCTGCTCTACCGCGCCTTTCTGGCTCTTACGTCCGTACATGTCGGTCGGTCCAGATCTCTCCCCTACAAGATGCCGCTACCTGGCTTTCCAAATTATCCCTCATGGCCCCTGGTGTGCCCCTAACGGGGAACCTGTTCGGGTGTACTTCCATCACGGCTTTCCCGCATCCTAATGCACTTCGCATGCTGCATGCATTCGTCCGTACCTGGTGTGGCGTTGTCAGATAAGTGTCAGTTACAAGGAACAACACCAGGTATCACTTAGCTCCCAACCAACAGCACATGTATATATGTATATTATGTACATCCACCCACGGTGCTGCCTCATTCTTGTCCAGGCAAGCCGTGTGTGTTATGCGACGTCCACTGACGCATCACGTTCCACTTTACCGTTGCGCACACATGCATAGAAAAAGTAGTAAGCAAGGATAAGCTGCTTTCGCCAACTAATACATGACTTGTCACCAGTTTCCCTTCCTTTCTTTTGTCCTCTGTTCCAATGCAGGTCCTACATACCAACAATCCTAATTTTGCTGATCTTAGGAACCTTGTCATCCCCTTCATAATGCTCCTGCTTCATCTTCCTGCTGCTGCGGTAGTAGCAATGGCAACAGGGGCTATGCTAATGTAGCTGCAGACGAGTACACCGACCAGAGGGCAATGGTGGAGTCCCGGGAGGAGGAAGCAAGCATCATGGTTTCGGGGCTGAATGCGACCGCCGTCACCTGGTTACGATGGTACTGTCCAGGGCGGGAGGAGGGGGGGAAAGCATGAAGGGAAAGAGAAGGGGAGGAAAAAACGGATGAAAGGAAAGGTGACAGAAAGGGAAGGCAGGACGCAGGGGCACTAGGAGAAAAGAAAGGAGACAAGCAATGGGGGCAAAAACAGCACCGCCAGCACCGGCAAAAGCAGTCGATGATGCTGATGCGACCAACGTCGAGGGAGGCGACGCAAATTCGGCGGAGACGTGGGTTTTCTGATCCGGTGGTCCCCCCGCTGGGACGGAATGCTGTGCCGTCCTCCTCCGCAAGATCGCCGTACCAAACTGAACCCTCCAAAGAGGGGATCCCGTAATAACTTCCGTATGTCAGCGGCCCACCGTGACCTCTCACACAACACCCCCGAGCAGCCTTAACCCAACTTCCAACCCCCAACTCCCTTATCCCACTGAAGCCCCACGTCCAGCTTCTGCCCATGCAGCGGTTCCTGTTTCCTCATCAGTCATACCCCAGCTCTCGTACCCATTCACTTCCTTCCTTACACCCACCCCAGCTATGTCGTTCAGATCGGCTCGGCTCGGCTCGCCTCTGTCCTGTCCTGTTCTGTCCTGTCCTGTCCGTGGTCCTGTCCGGTCAAGTGCCGTGCTTTCGGCTCAGTTCCCTTTCCCAATCCCACACCTACATCTCTCATCTCATCCCAACCACTGGCGATCTCTATTTGTTTCCATGGCCGTGTCATTTTTGTTGAACCCCTTATTCCTTCCGTTCAATCCACTGGGGCGGAGTGGGAGATATGGTATCTGCTTACGTAGGCGTATTCTTTCTGCCCAGCTCACCTTCAGCACTGCTAACGGTTCCCTCCGGCGCAGCGAGTAGAGCCGCACCCGACCGTCCCAGCAACCACACGCAAACAGCTTGCCGTCGGGCCGTATGCGTACGTCTGCCGTACCCGCCGCTCGAAGCGGCAGCTGCTGTGCCAGGGCCAGCGGCCGGGCCTCAGCGGGCTGCACTTCGCAGCAAGAGATCTTGTTGTCAGCCGACCCCGAAACCAAGTCATATATTTCCGTTGTACCACCTGCCGTACAGTGTGGCAGGAGCAGCGGCAAGCGCGGTTTAATGGAGAGTGCCAGGCAGGCCCCGGGATGAGTTGGGCTGGGCTGCAAACCTATGGCCAATGGCAGATTGTCAACGCAGGTCATCCCCTGACCCGTAAGCTGTCCAACCCACCCAACTCGCAACCCACGCTCCGAAACCAATGTAGCACGCAATTAATAAACAACTAATCCAAGATATTCCGCAAAGCATTTCGCGGTCCGCGCAGTGTTTCCGCTTGGGCTTCCGCGGCAGCGTTGCAGCGTTAACTCCGCCTTCCAGCCTCCCCCTCTTTAACCTACCCCCTTCCCTCTTTCCCGGCTGCCCTTCCTGCCCCGCCAGATTCCTCACCCGTCAACGGCGTCCCGGGGACCCCGCCGTCGCTGCATTGGCCCTCTTCCGCGGCGTCGCGTCCACTGCGGCCACCACGCGCCGCCATCCCTACCTTGGCACGTCCTCGGCACCTCGCCCGCACATCCAAGCACATAACCGGCTCCCCATGAACCCTCAGTGACGCGAGAGGCTCGCCAGGTTGGCGCAAGTCCCAAAGTGCCACCACGCCGTCTTCGTACCCTGCGGCGACGACCCGTGGGTCGGTCGCGTTCGGTGTCGTGCCGGCGCCGCCGGCAGCACCGCTGCTGCTGGCGGCTCCTCTTGGCGATGACGCTGACGCTGATAACAGCGGTGCCGGCGACGAAGCGGGCGGTAGGAACGCCAGCGCCATGCACATGCCATGTTTGGTTTCGGGCCCACCAGCACTGACGCGGCCTTGGCGGAGGTGTACAGCGGCAGCAGGGCCCTCCTACACACAGGGCGCAGAGGAAAGGGGTCAGGGAAGCCAGAAACCCCGAAACCCTGCTAGACAGATAGCGGAAAAGAAATTTAAATAGCCAGAAAAGCATAAAGACCTGGACAAGCCAAAATCTTACCCAGGCCGACCAGAACATTTTGGCATGCAAAAGATAGGCCTCATGGAGGGTGCCGCGACCGACCGCCAGTAGGTCAGCCATCTAGAGAGTAACACTAGGACTTGGGCTCTCGCTGCCCCTAGTCCAGAACCGCCCGCCTGGCTGCGGCTACGCCGCCTTGCCGTCATGCCATGCCTGCGAATGTTCATGCCAGTGTGCTTGCTCTGCTGTCTGTGTCCCCACCGACAGCTCACCGACAGCTCACTGACTCACCGCCGGGCGCCACACACACACTTCAGCAGGGTCATGTCCTGCGCACGCCACAAACAAGTCCTGGGCGCGGGTGGGGAAGAGGTATGAGGGTCGCGGCGGAATGAGTATGGCGGGAAGAGGGAGGGAAAGGAGGACATGATAACACGCGGCATGTGTGCCATCGGCACGTGTTCTCACGCAGGACTTGTGCTCCTTCTACTCTAATAGGGCATCCTGAGGCCGCGCACCTTGCCTTTGCACCATTACCCTGTCTTACTGCACTCCTCGTAAGCCCTTCATCACAGATCAAGGTCCGGGACTAAGCACGCAGTGGAGAGTGAGCCTTAAGATGGACCAATAACGAGGGTTCAAAAACAAGGTGATGATAGTGTCCAAGTTATCCCGGCTGTGGCCCGAACACTGACCCGCAGTTCACCTGCTGTCCCGCCTGCCGCGACCTGCGGTGCCGCCGCTGCCGGTCCGGAATCAGCTGCCTGGGGTTCTGCTGCTGGTGAGCCCGCTAACGCCACCGCCGCCGCAACACCAGCAGCAGTATTGAGAGGAGCCCATACGGTGCAGCGACAGAAGTTGAAGGACTCGGTGCGTAATTCGTGCAGAGGCTGCGCCCTAAGCGGCGTGCGACATGGAAGGGGTGTGTGCAAGCGTGATTTGGGAAATCAGCAGGTTGGTTAAACAGAGAGCTGCTACAAGAGTGTGCCGTCGCAGACATAAAAAATTCCAAGTCCAAGTGCTACACGCATCCGCTTTCTTCCGTACTTGGCAGGCCCATTGCAATTGCAACACTACAGCTCCCCGAAACGACACAAGAACATGTGAAATCGAGGACAAACCATCGACTCGAAGCACGGGAGCACACGAGAGGATATTTGACAAGTGAGGAGAGGTGATGTGCGCCCGGGAAGACACAAGGTACCACCAGACGCCTAAGGACATGTGCCCTGGGGCGGCTCCACGGAATGTCATGACGTCCGGAGATCGCCAAAACCCTAGGTGATGACTTGATGAAGGTGGCCGAAACTACAGATGGTATGGGTTCAAGGGCGCCAAAACGGACTTTCTAAGGGCAGCTATAAGGGCAGCCCCTGCAAGGGCAGCTGTCAGGCGCAGATCAGCCCCGACCCCAAGCCGTCACGACCTTTGCCGCGGGGGTCCTCATAGCCTCAAGGCACGTGCACTTCCGGCGCAACCCTCTGCCCGGTGCCTCTGCTGCTTTCCGTCTGCTGCCCAAACCCACATGTGCAGTACTTCTGGTTCTTCCCTGACCCTCCCACCCGGCGATTTTCGAAATTGCCGAAGTCCCTAACCAACCCACCTGTCCAATGCGCCGGCCCGTCCTGCAGCCCACAGCCGCACGCAGCCGTCTCGACCCTGGCTGGGGTGTGTGCAGGTGCGTGCAGGCGGGTGTTGGTTGATGTAACCCGACAGGTGGCCGGGTAAGGGCGGAGCAGAACGAAAACCTATCATTGAAAAGGATCACGTCCAGACGCGACGTAAGGAAATGCAAGGGGAAAAGAAGAAGAAGCCCTCACACCCCAAGCCTCATTCCCGTCTGGAGAGGTGACAGCACCGGTTGGACTGCCGCACTCAGTCAGGACCGGACGCCAAGCACGACCTGCTTCCCTCCGCCCCCGCTCCTCAGGAGGCAGGCAATCGCCGCCCAGGGCCCGCGCTGGTGCCGCCGCTGCCACCGCCGCAGGGACCACCGTGGCCGCAGCCATAATAGCAACAAAGCAGTTGCAGCGGCCAAACCATGCTGGAGAGGGCGTGGCACGGAAGGAAAAGAGCTCACCTCAACAGCACGCCGTAAGCTGCTAAGCATGCCAGGTGTAGTATCCCCGCATTGGCGTCATGAAGCCTGCGGCAGGGGGAAAATAAGCCCCCAACCCCAAGCCCATCCCAGGGGTAGAGCCGGCCGTTAAGCACCGGACCAGCACGGACCCAGGCCGGGCACAGGAGGGTAACGGGGGTGGGTGGGTATTAGGGGGTTCGCGTTACGCCGATTGAATACAGGAGACACCCCCCTTTATTGTCAGTTTCGTATTCAAACCTCAGCTCATGCTCAAATATCCGGAACGCGCAAGCCCATCCGCAGTGCATGGTGCAACGGTGCAGGGTGCGATTGGTGAGCGGAAGCTTACTTGGCCGTATATTCTGTGCGGCAGGAGGCAAGGTCCCATAGCCTCAGCTCCCCATTGTTGTCCCTGTGGTCAAGCAGCCCAGTACACGTGCGAAACCAGACGCAGTGTGCGACAGGTGCAGGTATGGGGGATTGCTGATGTGTGTCTTTTCCTTGCTTCGGCTGGAGTCAGGATAGGCGCAAGGATCATCATCCCCACCCCTCTATCAAGGGTTAAAACGGTGGGGAAGCGGGAACTTGGGATTGAGTACGTGGAGCGTACCCTGCGTAAAGGCGATCTTCCGATAGAAACGCGAGGCTCTGAATATCGCCCAGGTGCCCGCGGAGCACATGCACCGGGTCCGTGCTCGCCATGACCGTCAATGCCCTCTCAAACCTGGAGCCCCCCCGCGACAGCCGAGAGATTGAACGTACGAAATCAAATTCCGCTATAATACACGTGCTGTAGAGGCAAGAAAACACGGACAAAGGCCTTCCAAACACTTCGCAGCGGTATTCAATCTGATGACTTGGCTCCGGGTTCTCTTACGATAGAAGGTACGATCAGCCTTAAGTTAAAGGAGTTGTGATTTGCGTGAAGTAATACGCAGACGCGGATACGTATAATAAAGCGTTCCTTGCAGTTGTCGGCTCAAGACCGTACGGGGCCAGTGTCTGTGAGACAAGCGTTTTTGCCTTCGACTGCGATGATACATCATAAAGCTCTACTAAAGAAGATCTTAAACCATCTTGCGAAAGCAACGAAACTCTTTGACCGACTTCCTAACCTCCAGTTTCTATGGACTAAGCCTTTTGCGGATGCTCGCACTTCCTACCGTATGTAAGCTCATAACGACCAAGTCACAGTTAGACTCTTGACGCCCCCGCCCAGTTACTCACGGCGGGTGGCGTGGAGCGGCGGTCCCTTCCTCATCAGGGAGCTGAGGGACAGTGCCCGGGACTATGGGCTGCGTCTGCAGTACGCCTAATACTGACGATGTCCGACAACAGTCCAGCCCTGTACAACCCAAGCCAGCGCTGACGCCGAAGGCTGTGGAACCGGCCAGGTTGGCTGGGTGTGCACACATGTGTCGCGTTTTTGGTTGCCGCGGTCCGCGTGTGAAATGGACTGCAACCGATTTGTTCTGTCGACGTATGAATGCAACTCGTGTGGGGCATGTGCAGGATTGAGACCAAGGCCGAGCTGCCGAGTACCAAGCCCTCAGACATCGTCGTCGAGAAAGCTCAGGTTAGGCGTGGTGCCTACTTGGGTAGCATTTTATGCCTGTTGAAGCGTTGTACCCTCGCTGAAGCTCGTTCTGTACCCTCTTCTAGAGTATAAATCGTGGACATCCCGAGTCAGGACCTTTGCAGCAGCAGAATGCCGCTTCAGCGGGACAACAACAGGGGACAAAAGCACGTCGCGCAGCTGCTGGCTCTGAGGTACGCACGAGGTTATGTTCCTTTGCTGTCAATTATATCGAGACTGGTGTCCCAACCGCCGCAACTTTGAATCACCAAACTGCAGGCAGTAAGGGACCAAATTAGGAAACTTGCTGTTGGTGGACCACAAGCGAAGGAGGAGAAAGAGAAGATTTATGAAGTCAGCGACTCTGAGGATGAGGAACTTGACGATGACCCACTGGACAGGTATGCGCGGGTCCCCGAACAAACAGTTTTAAATCAAAAAGGAAACATGCGTATTTGTTCAGCGGGGTGAGTTTTACACCGCAGGGGCACACTGTCGGGTGACTGGTACAAGCCCCAGGAGGTAACTGACGCTATCCTGGAGGCGCTTAAGCGGAACTTCGTCTTCAAAGGCATTCCCCAAAGCCATCTGGTGGAGGTCAGTAGGCTGCTGTGCATCGTAGCCAGGGTTTGCAGTCATGACGTGCCATAATCTGCCATGTGGCATTTACTATTCACAGGTGGTGGGCCGCATGTATGGCATCAGCTTCCGGGCCGGGGCAGTCGTCCTGCAACAGGGCGCTTTGCCGAAGCAGGATGACTGCATGTACTACCTGCAATCTGGGGAGGCGGAGGTGGTTATTAGCGGTGGCGCGGATGCAGCTTCTAAGAACCACGGGGAAGAGCGCACGGTTGAGGGGCACACAGTTAGGATTCTACAGAAACCTGGGTGGCTCTTTGGTGATGTGGCGTTGCTGTTCCACTCGCCGCGTACGGCCTCCGTTGTGGCGAAAACCAACATTACGGTGTGGGCTATGGACCGGCGGACCTTCCTGAAATTTGTCATGAAGCACGCACAGGGAGCGCGTGCCTTGCGCTTCTTGCGCAAGCTGCCACTGCTTAAGGGTCTCTCAGATAATGATTTAATCCGCGCAGCGTCGCGTATGCCCCAGCGCATGTATGAGGACGGGCAGCCCCTCATCCGCATTGGTGAGCGTGGCGACGAGCTATTCCTCATCCGCTATGGCAAGGTGAGTCCCCTCTCTCCACATTCCGTAAACAAACACAACAACTCCTTCTGTATCACGAGCGCACGCAGATGTGGCCTACCCTTGCCACATTTACCCTGTGCATATCCAACCAGAGTGCGAGGGTATTGCTATAGACAAATGCAGCAGCTTGGATTTAGGAAAGCCGTGGCATCTGTCGTGCTGCTGGCACAGTGCACTGTAGCACGTTGCCTCGCCGGAGGTGCCTCGGAACGTTGCCACCTAGGATGGCAACTGAAGCAGTGCCTCTATGTTTATCCCACACAGGCTGTCAGGGTTATTACCAATGGCTAAGCCTGGAAATTCGAACCATTCCCTCGCATTCCCCCGCATCCTCGTGCTGGGTTTACCGCTAAGCTTACGCTGATGCCTGGGGTTACATTTTCGCTGCTATTCACACTGTTAGCCCAGGGTTGCCCAAGGTATTCGATGACCTCTTGAGCGCTCACTCATACACTGATAATGACCCGGGTGCCCCGGATGTCCAGGTGCCCCACGTCGACATGTATCTGCAGCCCGTTCGTTTCCTCCTTTCCAGAATTTATAGTGTCCCTCCGTCATGATCAGTATATCAGTACACCATAGTATGAACATGCAGGGTTTGTTAGTAAGGAGTCTTGCTTCTAAGGCCCGGGCGTTGCGTCCGACTGCAGGTGCGCGTCTTCCGCCCGGATGGCAATGGCGGCCATGTGGAGGTCGCAGTGCTGGGTCGTGGTCAATTCGTGGGAGAGCGTGCTGTCATTAATGACAAGCTACGCAGCGCGGATTGCGTGGCGCAGGGGCAGGTGCAGGTGGTCGTGCTGAAAAAGCGCGACTTTATGGATCTTGACAACCCCTTGCTGGCGTGGATGCTCGATTACGACGCCGTGTCGGCTGTCATTCGGGTGGGTCCGGGATCCGGGCGGGGAATGGCGTTAAGAGGGCCTGGCAGGACACAAGCGCTCTCTTGCTACGGTAGGATGGAGGATGGATATGGGAAGCTTAGTTTCTGGGGCATCCGATTACGCTGCATGCATGGGAGGATGCTCTGGCTACCAAGTGCTCGGGGCGTGAAGCTTTACACAGTCGATGGTAAAGCGGGAGATCATGCAGTGTCCAGCTATTGGTCAGTGGATCAGTAGATGTGTTGCCATGGGGATGCGAAGTCATGAGGCATTCGGCATGATATGAAGAGGTGTCGTTGGGCCGGGAGGGCTTAGCGCAAGGCAAAAGTTTGTCTTCGACGGCAGAGGCCGGTGCCACTAGCAACCGCGAGACCGGAGCGCATCCTATAAGTGGAATTATGTTGCTGTGAAGCCCCCGCCTGAGATGATAGGGTAATTCGTGCGTATGCTCACCATGGATAGTACAAGTCATACGCGTAAGATATACAGGCGTGACTAGTATGCGTAAGATGTACATGCACGACCTTATCCTTCCCCGCGCGGTGCCCCCCGGTTGGCCCTCAGTCACTCCCGCACTTGAAGGGACTAAAGCAGGAACAAATGGAGAATATCTTGGACCGGTTCGATGCGCGTGAGGAGCTGTTGCAGGGGGACACGATACTCAATCAGGGTGACTTGGTAAGTGGAGAACGCGGCAACTGAATTTCTGCTCAATTGTACCCAGTAGATGGGATATGTGACCAGCTTGGCGGCTGAGCTGGCGGCTGAGAATCAGTTGCTGGACAGGTCGCTCGGGAATTGGGTCAAGTCAAAGCGTGTTCCTTCATGGTGCGGAGATTCTCGAGAGCTGGCCTTTTGCACGGATCATCTGCCCCGTGGCATGTTCACAATGCATGTGTGCCGGAACGTCCCTATTCACCAACATACATGGCGGGAGGTTGCGTTTAACCCGTACTACCAAACCTGGGCGGTCTAAACGAGAGCTTGAGGATTTCCGAACGTCTTCTGGATAACGTTGCATGAAGCTGCACCGGTTCGTACTGGTGTGTCAATAAATTGCGTGAATGGATGGGAAACACGCCTGTCGGTATCGTACTCATTAACACATGTGGGAGTTGATCAGATGCTCTTTGCATGTGGCGTGTTGTGCTTAACACATGTCTAGGTCCCAAGCAGAGTCATAATGATACGTGTGGCAAATCAACGCATCCAGGTGCTTCAGCCTTTGTCGCTGGCATCTGAAAGACGTCACGTCTATTTGCCAAAGAATTGGGTCTGACGGCTGCGGGTTTCCACATACGTTGTTGGGCACTAGGCACTTTTGCAAAAGGATTAGCGAGGTACTACGGCAGGGCCGGTGTTAGCAACTACCTCGGGATTTGCCTTTGAGTGCTGCTGTCCATGTTCCCACAGCTGGAGAAGCTGTACGTCGTGAAGATCGGCGAGATTGCGCTTTTCCGGAATGGCGAAAAGGTGGAGGATCCCTCTTTCTTACACGAAATTGCTGGCTTCAGCTACTTCGGCGAAAGCTCGCTCACACAGATCGTGAAGTGCCCGTACACAGTACGCGTGGCGTCGGACACGCTGCATATGCTGACCCTACCTAAACGGTGAGTGCCTGTCTGGCTTCTGTCTACCGGTTACATCCATGACATGCCTCGCGACGCTTCAGACGCACTGGCGTGTGTCGTGCATCGTGCTCACACCACCTGTTGCATCTGATTTTGCACGTCCTCTACCTTTGCCTCAAGCTGTCATGTACGGGCTTCCATGTGTCGGCTTCGCTTAGGCTTTTCGGGCGCCACCACACGTGCCTCATCCGCAGGCAAGTAGACTCGTTTATGGGCCGCGACACGGGGCTGAAATCGGACGAGGCCGTGGTAGCCGCCTTAAAAAAGTCGCGCTTCCTGGCCACCATGACGGAGCCTGAATTTAAGGAGCTGCTTAAGATGTGCGAGCTGACATCGTATAATCCCGGCGAGGTCATTGCCGTCGCGAACAGCTCCATAACCAACAAAATCTTCCTGGTCAAGTCGGGCGAGGTGATGGTGGTTGCCGCGGACCTCGCGCTCCCAGACACGGGCGTGGTGGACGTGCGCAAGCTGGCGGGCAGCGAGCGGCATCGGCTGCTTGCGGGAAGCGTCTTTAACGATAAGGCGCTTAACAGCCCGGAAACGGCGTCGCTGGAGGCGTCTCTGGTCGCGGCGACGCCCTGCAACGTCATCACTTTCACGACTTCGGATGTGGAACGGGTGAGCCATTGAGGGCATCGTTGCTGCGGTTGCTGCGGGTGATTGCGGAGCGTTACCAGTTGTATCGGGGAAAGAGAGGGAGTGAATGTGAGATGCAGGCACTGGTAGAGGGCCGTCTTGCGAAATGCAATCTGGCCCCGTTCTTGTCACGTCATCAAACCGCTCCTTTCAAACGGAGGAGCCACGCGTCGCTTAGTACACTGTTCGCGCCGCGTACATTTAACTGGGCGCGGATTGCTCACTCCCTGCACCATTGGCCCCTTACCAGCAAAATGACCACACACCTGAGCGTGCGCCCGTGTACTTTATAACAATACGCTGGGATTGCAGTGGTGCTTTTATGTAACCTACAGGCTGTATCAATTTACGGCAGCATGCTGAAGGACATGGTGTCCATGCCCTTTGTGGCTGCCTGGCGTGAACCCCGCCCGGATATGCTTATGCTTCTCGTTGTAGGTCATGGGTGGCCGCGCCATGAGCCGCAGCCGCAACGCCATGGCGAGCGCTGGCGCCGAGCAGCCCAAGTTTCCAAAGGTCAAGTTCACGGAGTTAGAGTTCCACCGCATTGTCGGCACAGGCCAGTTTGGACTGGTGCGTGTCGTGCGGAACATCAAAACCAACGAGGTGTACGCGCTCAAGGTGCGTTGCCGCTCCGATTTCCGGTTTGCGGCCAACACGGTGGTAGGCGACCGGACGTCCGGTCGTCTCCGTTGCCCTAGATAATGGATTGCGGTTGAGTGAAACGGAAACCCCTTAGTGGGTATCTGAGCACGAATAGTATGCCTGTGCTGCGGAGTACCTCGCTTGCATACGCCCTATCGCAACTAGCCAGTCAGCAGTCGTGCGCTTGAGAGCACGCATGCCGCGCTAAGCTTGGGTTCAGTAAGCGCTCCTTCCCTTAGTCCTCTTGTCGTCGCGCATCGCAGCTTACGGCTGGGGTTGGCTGGTGTGAACGTGCGTGCCTGGTTTTGCGCATGCCCCGCAATGGCCACAGGTTATGCACAAGGCGCCAATTGTGGAGTCGAAGCAAATTGAGCACGTCATCAACGAGCGCAAGATACTAGAGGAGGCCTGTGCGCACCCGTTCTGTGTGCGACTCTGTGGAGCCTATCAGGACAAGTCGTCGCTCTATCTCTTGCAGGCAAGTGGGCATTGGGAGTAAGCAGAACTGGTTGTAAAGTGGAACTCGCTGAAGACTTGGGCAAGACGGCTGTTCATCTGCTGATGCTACCAGGAAGCCGAACGGGCGCCTTGGCTTGGGATTGCAGTAAGCAGCCCTATTAAATGGATTGGCGTTTTTGCGGGCGAAACGGAAACGGATTGACCTGTTGCGTCCGCAACCTGCCGGTACACAGGAGTGGGTGCCGGGTGGAGAGCTGTTTCACCATCTGGACGTGGAGGGCGCCTTCGACGAACCTACAGCCATGTTTTACGCCGCCAACGTGCTGTTGGCGCTGGAATTCCTGCACAACAAGGGCATCGTGTACCGCGACCTCAAGCCTGAGAACCTCCTGCTGGACACGCAGGTAAGCTGAAAAGCCTGGGGTGTTGCTGAACTGGGCGGGGAAATTTGGCGGTGTGAAGGAAGCAAAACGGCGGTGGGCGTAAACATGTGCTTTACAGGATATTATGAAATGGACGAAGTGTTTCAATTCGTTTTGCTGGCCAAACGTAATTATTTAGGGAGTCGCTTCGTGTTGAAATTAAAAAGTTTGGTTATGAATGCTATGCTTGAGTTAGGTAGGCCTGCGCGTCTCCCTGAAGCCCTCCTCCGAATCCTTCGGGCATTGGCCATCACCCTACCGAACGGTTTGGCCAACAACCTCCTGCAGGGCTACATCAAGATGGCGGATTTCGGTTTTGCCAAGTGCATAGGCAGTGACAAGACGTTTACCATTTGCGGCACACCTGATTACCAGGCACCGGAGGTATGCGACCTGCAGCGAGCGAGCTACATGAGCTCTTGCTCAGGGACGTCGTATGGCCAGTCACATGTGCCGGCCTTTGGGAATGTACCATCACGCGAAGGGAAGGGAGCCTAACCAGTTGCCGCCGTGTTGCTGCATGTTGATGATGTGCATGTTGGTGAACTAAAGCTGGTTTCGGGACAAGCCACGCGTTTCGATGAATCACCGACGTTGACATACATGACCCGCACGCCAAACCGATTGCGTAAGCACACTCTCAGGGAGCGCTTGGTGCGCTACCGCGTTAACATCGGGAAATTGCTTACATATTACCCACGTATGTGCGCCCGCAGGTGATCATGCGCAGGGGTACAACCAAGGCAGCCGATTACTGGGCGCTGGGGGTGCTTATCTTCGAAATGCTGGTTGGCGACCCGCCCTTCAAATCGCTTACAGGCGACCCGTGGGACACCTTCCGGCGCACCCTTTCGGGCCGCTTCTACGTGCCTAATTTCATTTCCGATCAAGCGGCCGACCTGATCTTCAAGCTGCTGCAGGTGCGTCCGTCCGTGAGGTGACTACCATTCTTGGGAGTTTGGCGTTGATTATTGTGGGTCACGAATGAGCAATGTTTGCAGAGGCTTTCTCCGCTGTCGCCGCGCGAGACATGACAGCAATTATGCGCCTTCTGCCCGCCAATGGCTTCCGATCAGGGCAGGTGTTGGCTGTGTCGTGCTTGCGCAAATGCATTATGCTGAATCAGGCTTACCGCCTTTGGGCAACCATGAGGTTCCGACTCTTTTTATGCAGTTGGTCACCTTGCTGTACTATAACCACCGTGCGTTGCACCTACCAGGTGAACCCCGACAAGCGTCTGGGCAGCGACCGCCGGCTAGGCGCGGACGAGATCAAGCGCCACCGCTGGTTCAGCCGGATAGACTGGAAGGCCCTGGAGCAAAAGCGGCTTCCGGCGCCGTTCCGACCGCGTGTACGGAATCCTCTCGATACATCCAATTTCGATAATTTTGATAATGTGGACCTGGAGCCGCCGCCTGTGCCAGCTGACCGTGCTGAGAAGCATAGCCAGCAGTGGGAGCTCTGGGACTGGATCGAGGACACAAGATTATAAGGCCATCAGCGCATGAGCTGCTGGCTACGGGAAGGGTCGATTGACGCGTTTCTTTGTGTTTACTGGTCCTCGGCCGTGGTCATGAAGTGAAACCTGTAGGGGCTTTGGGTTACGGGAGTGTGATCGATTATATGCTTGGGTGAGGGTTTGGGACGGGTCTAAAACGGGGCTGGGACATGGGGTCCGGATGTTTCTTGGGAAGTAGAAATGCATTATCGTTTGGTACGGTGGGAAAGGGTGTGCGGCGACTGCTTGATGCGCTTTTGGCTTTTGGTTGGTGATGAAGCGGCCACTGCCTGTAGACGGTGTTGTCAGCACGCGCAAGATGTCATGGTGGCCTCAGCCCCGTCGTTTTGGCCTGCACAGATGAGGACCCGCCTGCGTGCGCACTTTGCCGACTGGGGACAGCAGTGCGGCGCGCGCTGCTCGCCACCTGTGTACGAGTTACTTCCGAAATGCTTGTTGGGTATGGTTGCTGAGTATGGTTGCGCGTCGGAGATGGGGCGCGGTACTGCAGACTTCAAACATTTTACATGCGCGACTAGGTTATGCCAGTTACGCGCGACATCCCTGCTTCCAGATTGCATTTACGTCAATCCTTACCGTGTGTCCTGTTCTCGCATAATGGTTATGTATATTTTTACTTGTCGAACAACGCCATGAAGTGCCTTTGGCCAGTTTGTGCTGCATGGACACGATAACCAATGTCTGCGGGACGTTTGTACATTGGTAGGAAGCAAGAGGGCGGCGTATATGTATTGCCCTGGCCCAAGGGCTGCTGGCCGCAGCGTTTCGTGGCAGCAGTGGCACTTAGGGCAAAGGGTAGTATCTGTTCGCCCCATGGCGGCCGTGAATGCACCTTCCCGACGATTGACAACGCTTGTGCCGCACGAGCTGTGGACAGGAAGGTCGACGTAGGGGATGGTCGCATGGCCGCGCATGTTGGTGCTTCATTTTGGTTGCCATGCGGTTGACAGAGCGCGGAGGGTGAGAGGTGGCGCGGTTCGTAAGGTTTTTGGTTGCATGGATGGATGCCGAGCTCTCCCGCCAACCTTAACTTTTCGACATGTGCGCTGCGTATGAAGTTTGTGTGCTCGCCAGTGCGGTGCATGCGCTCATATGAAGGGAAATGGTCTCGCGCACGTCTGTGAGTTTGGTGCGCTCGTGCAGGTCGCGCATAACCATGAGGCCCGTCCGTTTGCACAACGGCTTGCACGGTGTTTCCGGCTTGAAGCAAATAACTACGAGACTCAATACTGAAATGAAAAGTACGGGCTGTTCGCGGCGCCAGCAGGCCGGATATGTTAAATGCTTTTGAGTCTGGAGGGATTTCATGGGATGGCATATGATGAAGCGCACCGGCAGCGTGTGGGCCCCGGGCGGCTACGAAAGTTCTGAGCTGGTGCCATGCGTCTGCGGTCTTGTCTCGAGATAATAAGAGTGCGTATGTGTGCGGTTGTGTGGGACGTTGACGGAAATGCAGCTTGACGTTGAGGTGTTCGCATGTCGCGTGCTTTCAGCGCATTTAAGGGCATCGTGGCGATGTTGCCTGCAGCTGCACGTCCCCTGCATGGGCTCTTGGTGTATAATATAGTCATACGTTGTGGTGCTAGGCGCGCTGCCGGCTTTCGCTAAGGATAGCCGGTAGCCTGACCTAGCTACGTATGCAAACATGTATGCGACATTTTGCAGCGCTTCTCCAACTAAGGACATCCTCTTCAAAACTCTTCCGAAACCAACCGGGCAGTGGTGGAGCCGCATCTGGCACTGAGCACGGCGTAAATCGGCTTTCTGGCTTATTGTGGTCAAACCAGTAGGGGGCAGGCAGGCAGGCTAACGTCTCGAGGGCGATAGTGGTCGTCCAGGCATACGATGCAGAGGCATCGTTGTCCCATGAGCTTGGGAGCATTGCCTCTTCGGCATATAGAGTCTTACACCGATAGCCATGTTGCAGCCATCGCCTTCAAGCCCCCACCCTTCGGGTTTTTCTGTGCGAAGTTTTGATGAATGGGGTGGGTGCTTTGCGAAGCAGTGGCCCCCAAAGAATCTCTGGTCTCCGCAGCGATGACGCGTAGTTGAAAGATAAGTGGTTTCAGGTTAAACATGTACTCCTTTGTATCTTACAGCTCGGCGAAAGAGAGCATAGTAATTGACGGGGCAAAATATGCCTGTAACGCGTGCCTGACACACGCGCAGACGTGCACCCTCATGCACGTCCGTGGGCGTCCGTGCACGCTGCGGGGAGGTGACGGGACCTTAGGGACCGCAGGTTAATCATGGTTCTTAAGCTACCAATGTAGGCCCTGCCTAAGCACGACCACCGTCATGCGTGCGGACAACCGGGGCCGCCCAATGTCCGCAACTCGGCATTCATTGCACGTGTACGGAACGGACGCGTTGAAGTTAGACGCAAATCTTTATTGTGGTCTCAAGAAAGAAATTGTTATTATGTTTTCCAGTTGGTGTGTTAAAGGATAGGGACAGTTATTTTGAACTGTGCTTGCTTGGTGTATACCAACTTTGTCAGTTGTGCACGGTCTTTCTGCTTCCAGGCTTGGACTTAGCCCTCGGATACTATCCCATCCGCGTTTTCTGTTATTTAAGCGACGCTTCGTAGATTAGGCTTAACAAGGGCCGAACCTCTACCACTGCCTGTTTAAAGCATGGCCGCTATGCACAATGACCTAGACCGATGGATAGAGAAAGTAAGGAAATGCGAACATTTGGCTGAGGAGGAGTTGAAGACGCTCTGCGACTATGTGAAGGAGATCCTTGTTGAAGAGTCAAACGTGCAGCCAGTGAACGCACCAGTAACAGTGTGCGGTGACATCCATGGACAGTTTCATGACTTGCTTCGGTTGTTTGAGACGGGAGGGGAGGTGCCCAGCACCAATTACATCTTTATGGGGGACTTTGTGGACCGGGGGTACAACAGCCTTGAGGTCTTCACTATGCTTATGCTATTGAAGGTGCGGATTGTCGAGCGACGGCTTGCATTTAGCCCGATATACCGCCTGCGGCATGCTGACGGCGGCGTCGGTGCAGGCCCGGTATCCCGCCAACATAACTCTGCTCAGAGGCAACCACGAGAGCCGACAAATCACCCAGGTTTACGGGTTCTATGATGAGTGTCAGCGCAAGTATGGCAACGCGAACGCGTGGCGGTATTGCACGGAAGTTTTTGACTTCCTCACGCTTTCGGCGCTCATCGACAGCAAGGTGCTCTGCGTGCACGGCGGTTTGTCACCAGACGTCCGGACGCTTGACCAAATCCGTACGATTGATCGGGTTTGCGAGATCCCCCACGAAGGGCCGTTCTGCGACCTAATGTGGTCAGACCCGGAGGACATCGAGACATGGGCTATCAGTCCCCGCGGTGCTGGTTGGCTCTTCGGCAGCAAGGTGACAGCGGAGTTTAACCAAATTAACGGACTGGAGCTCATTTGCCGTGCGCACCAGCTCGTGCAGGAGGGCTTAAAATACATGTTCCCCGACAGATCCCTGGTGACTGTGTGGTCGGCACCCAACTACTGCTACCGATGTGGGAATGTGGCGTCTATCCTCATATTCGATGATAATTTAAATCGGGACGTACGGTACTTCACAGAGACGCAAGAAAACAGCAATATGATGGCGCCCCGTGCTACTGCCCGGTACTTCTGGTAGACGCGGAGTGTGGCACGAACAGAGACCAGTTGCGGGATGTGGCACGGACAGCTGCCAGATGCGTCTAGTGAGGTGTTTGCCATCGTGCAATGCAAGCTTGGGTGACATACGCGTTGACCGCGACGGGAAAGCTTGAATGTGCAAAGCTGGTATTGTGCTAACAGTCAGTAGTGATGATATGAGTTGGGGAGTGCGTCATATCCGGGGGGCGACCTGAGAATATTGAGGAAACTGACAGGTCAAGGCAAGGTATGCATCATGCTTATGGACGGTCCGAACGCTCACCAAGTGCATAGTGTGTGGCTGTGAGACGACGTGTATAGCCACATGCGTGGGTTTGCAATGTTGGACGACTTGCCAAGTTTGCGTGCCGCCTTTTATTCTGGAAGGAAATTGTCCTCCTCGGCTTAGATTGAGTTGGGTGGTGGTGGACTGCGCTATTGCCGTGCCTCACCCAGCAAATGGCCGTGCCTCACCCATTGCCTAGACTCTCTTGCTTTTCCGTGCGCATCAAGGTTCGGGGACAGACCCTCGAGTGGTGGTCTGGCTCATAGTACCTGCGGAACTTGAGTCCACGTTTAGGCAAACTCAAGTGTTATCATGCGTATCCTTGAATTCTTATTAGGGGGTTTTCAACTATAATGTACGCGCCCGATTGTGATACTATGTTGGTGCTAAACGAATGTGCCCATATGTCGCAAGTTAACTGCTGAATCAATAGCGGTTTGTGGGCAGGTGTGCGGCACAACGGACAGTTGCTTTGGAGTGTTACCCATGATCGATTCTGGCAATGCCAGTCACGTGAACCCTTTATGCGAAGGCAGAGATGCTCCGGGTATCCTTGACATTCCGGGCGCTTGGGTTCGGGTGTGCATAGGAGGCTGTAGTCACGATCCAAGAAGCTCTTGGTACCAGCATAAATGTTGACATCGACCTGCCAACCTACCAGCCTATCAGTCCTATGACGGGAGGAGCTCTGCGCACAAATAGGCGATTATTTCATGGTGCATCAGGTTTGTTATAACGTGAAAGGAAAAGCTGCAAAACAGGCCTTCCTTCCTGGGCCTCTATGTCGGCACCTCTTAAAAATCCAAACTCCTATGGTTGTGGCATAGATTTACGGTTGCTCCCAGGTTACTGCAGCTTTAAATTCTGTATCTTGGAAAAACTTTAGGCACGCGACCCGACGGGTCGTGCTCAAAAGGGACCAGGCGCATCCGCACAGAGGTCATCGTTAGTGCAATTTGGGATTGTACACCTAGGTGGAACAAAGTCCGCTCACATAACGTGCCACATGGAGGAGCTGGGAGGAGTACAGGGTTTTTGCAAATACACCGTACGGCACTAGATCTTTGTTGGACCTAATGCTTTTGCATTTCGTAATCTTTAAATAAAGCTTAGCATTTTATAATGCAGATTTCTGCGTGAACGTAAATATACTGCTTTGCTATCAGCTGGATTCTTACAGACGCAGCAAATGATTGGAAGTGACATTGCAACTGAGCCATAGTTCGCACAGCCCCAATGGCTTTCATACTGAGACGTGAGTTTCTACGAGATTGTTGGTCATGCGCTATGCCATTGTTGAGAAAACATAGCCATACAGCTTGTGGCTGGAAGCGGCGTGTGCATCGATGTGCAGATCGCCTGCCATGGTCTTACAGCAGTCTAAAGCGCACCTCAACAGTTGTAAAGTCGCGTGGTTAATCATCGAGTGAATGTTGAGCGCAGCCGTCGTACTGTACGACCCAGTATCGTCATCTGACTGGGTAAATAATTACCTGATATCCCCTGAGCGCCTTGTCCCAGGCAGCGCAATGCGTAATCGCCCCTGAGAGCTCGGTGTATGGTCTTTGCAGTTGTGGATGTCATGCACCCCATGCCGCACTCGTTCCCCCATGTAGGCAGCTTTGGGTTGCTTAACACTGCAGCTCCCCCCCACGTAACAGGGCTGGTGTCAACCAACAAACGGCGCTTCCAGGAGGATGGCTATGATCTTGACTTGTCGTACATCACGCCGCGAATCATCGCCATGGGGTTCCCCTGCGATGGCTTCTCCCGTAAGCCGCAACGAGTCACGCATGCAGTAGGCCACCATGCGCAAAAGCATAGTTACTTACATACGCACACACACCCAGAGACACGCATCCGGGACAACAGGCGATCACCTGGGCCGAATCCAGGATCTAGCATTGCGGCGTGACGTCATCGCCTTAAGGGCCCGTTTCCTGCATCCTCGAGCACGCCAGTAGTCCTCTGTCCTCTCTATCGATCTCTCCATCCCAGGCGGACCCGGTTCCCAAAAGCATCCAACACTGTCCGCACTCACATTCCAAAAGGGAAAGTCAATTCGTGGAAAGAAACAAACGCACGTGAGTGCAAAACACACACATGCACATACATACATGCACATACATACATGCACATACATACATTCACGTACACATACATACATACATACATACATACATACATACATACATACATACATACATACATACATACATACATACATACACGCGCATACAGACACGCAGATGCGTGCACTGCACTGCGCACTGGTAGCGGCAACCTCACCCGTGCCTGTGTGAGGAGTATGTCGGGGGGCCCCCCTCCGTCCCACGACTTTCACGAGCTGAGCCGCATTATAAGTGTTCGGGTCTGATTGAATTTGGGTTCTTCAACTACCCTCAGCTCCCTAAGCCCTTGGGACTTTCCTCATTTTCCTCAGACACCCTCCCACACGCCTATCGGACAGGGTTTTTCCGCTCATCAGCAATTCTCTGCCACATGCACCGGCATACAATCCAGCCACCCACAGCCATGGCAAAAGTCTTGAAAGTCGTAAATGTCCCCCTGCCGGTACCGGTGCCGGTGCCTGCGGCTCCAGGTCTGTACCGCAATCCCCTGGAGGATGTCGTACGGCTTCTGGAGGAACGCCACGCGGGGCGTTACAAGGTGTACAACTTGTGTGTTGAGCGGGGCTATGACCCACGGGCCTTCAAGGGGCGTGTCCTGAGAATTCCCATGTACGATGGCCAGGTACGGCAATGGTGGTAATTACAACTTATGCGAGAAACGCAACGAGGATCGAACACCGCCCCCCCCCGATCTGCGGCAACGGGTTGGAGAACCTTGGGGCAGAACCGTAATGTGACGCCAATAAAAGCTCTGGAAAGAATGTGTCCCCAGAAAGTTGAATACAAATTACAAAGTAAGAAAAAAATGGAAGCTGGCAAGTTTTGTACGGTGTACGGTTGATGATCGGCAGGCGGGCGCGCAAGCTGGGGGCTTCCGATCAAAGCACAAACAAAAGCGGAGGATGCGGGGTGGTGCGGTGGGTGGACGCGGGCCTTTCCCCCTCCCCTCCCCCTCCGTTGTAACCAACTCTCATGTTTCCGCTCCCGCAGGCCCCTCCTCTCCACTTGCTGCTGGGGGTGTGCATGGACGCCGCGGCCTGGCTGGCGGCCGACCCCGGGAACGTGGTGGCCGTACACTGCAAGGCGGGCAAGGGGCGCACCGGTGTGATGGTGTGCGCCTTGCTCCTGGCGATGGTGGGTGCATCATTCGATCTCCCTCCCCATCCGATCTCTCCCATGCGCCTGGAGGGAGGCGCCCCCACACGCGTTGGTAGCTAGCTAGGGGTCATGTCTGCTCCAGATGCTTCCCGGTACCTACTCTGCTCTCCGGCTCCGCGCGCCTGGGGGGTCGCCTACCCGCTTCGTTCCTCCCTGGAGCACGTCTGGTGGACATCGTGGTCGCATGTGTTGGATTGGGGGAGGGGGTTGTGTGACGGGGGGGGGGGGGAAAGGGGGGGAAGAGGGGGGGAAAAAGGGGGGGAAAGAGGGGGAATTTATATTTATGATGGATGTGATGCATAACTGTCAGACGAAAGCACCAGACCAAGAAGAGAGAGAGGGAAAGGGAGAGGGAGAGGGAGGTGGGTCTTGGGGAGTCTTGTCTGATGCGGCGGCACCTTCGAAGTGTGGCAGTGCGAGAGACCAAAACATTAGATTTGGAATAAGCAAGTTTTAATGGAGGCGTTAAGAAGGCTTTGGTTAAGAGAAATTTTACGAATTGCACGTTTTTGTCTTAACCCAAAGTTCTCCAGCGAGCAGTGCCCCAGAATTTGTTTTTTTTCCTGTAACACAAACTCTTACAGGATCCGGAGCTGGGCCCGGCGTCCCTGGAGCGGACTTTGTCTTTGTGGGCCATACGGAGAACCCTGGACGGCAAGGGGCTGTCCATTCCCAGCCAGAGACGGTAAGTGACGGCCGCAAGAGCAGTGATTTTTTTTTCATTTAGGGCGGGTCTCAATTTATTCCGACCTAAGTAACAAAGTTGCTAGGGTCGCCGTAATTTATTCCGTAAGTGTAGGGCGCTGTGGGGGGCTACGCCCCCCCCAGACCCCCCCCCTAAATTACAACTCCCCTCATAGACCAAGACCGCTGGCAGCAACACCATTGCCGATGCATTACCGACAACAGCACCGCCGTCCCAAACGCCTTTATCAGGAAAAATTTCAGGCTTATCTTGCTGTTTTGGTGTTTGTTCGGCGTTCAAGTCGTTGCCTTTTGCGTGTTTGGCTATGTGAGGACCGGTCATACATTCTGCTATGCCGCGTTGACTCACGGGCTTGACCTTCTTACGGCCCCTCATATCTATTCTATGATCGATAATACTAAGTTCTGCACACTACGGAGCAATCTGGCAGCAATGGACGTTTTTGGCTGGAGGAATGAAAATGTACGGGTCGGCCTCAATTCATTCCGTTTTTCCAAAGGCCAAAATGGCCTCTTTATTCCTTATAAGGAATATATTACTTAAAAAAACACTGCGCAAGAGTCCGTACCCGTTACCATGATGAAACCGCCGGTGCACGCGTGTGTGACTGTCTGAGGGAACTGGTATCTTCAGTGCGCACAGTAGCCAGCTACTGGCGGTGGTAGGTGCTGTCCTCTTCAAAACTATTATTATTATTACTATTACTGCACACAAATTACATTTACTAGTACTATTATTATTGCTAGTACTATTATTAAGGCA